TAACCCCCCCCCCCCCCCTCCTTCCCTCCCCCACAAACACTTTAAAAATATAAAATAATAAAATATTGGTCATTACCACATTAGAATTCCAGAAAAATCTGTAAATAAAATGTTTATACAGGTCACTACAAAAATTCATTAATCTACATTGTTACCATTTTTCTCTTGAAATATATAGTTTTATTAACAGAGTATTTAATCAATATAAACAGAGTGAATCATTTAACAGAAAACTTTCCTCGGGCCTTAAAAACAACGTATTCGGCGTTCTTCACTGAGACTTACAGGAAAATCTCACGGCAACTTAACTTTAAAGGACCCCAAAGGTAAAGGAGCTGGCAGATAAACTGGCTGGTTCTGCACCACTTGGTGGTGAACTACAACAAACAAGATGACATAAGGGCCCTTTGGAAGCGTGTTAAAGTGTGGAGACTCAAACAGATCATTATTGTCTGAAGAGAATGGTGCCGTGGGGGGAGTTACCAGGGGATGTTGCCGACGCTCAACACTAAAGGAAAATGCGAAACAGGTGTACAACCAGACAGTTAGCTGTGCCATTGTAAATGGGTCTCTTCACTTGCTGCTGAAGATTGGGACGGAACGCTTATGGAAGTGTCCCTAGTGCTGTGATGTTGATTCTAAATTCAACATTCAACTTTTCAGCTACACATTGATCAGAATAAAAAGAGATCACACAGGACTTACACTGAAAGCTGGCGCTGGTTCTGGAGAAGGGATAACCTTGGAAGGCCTGCTTCTTTGTGGTTGATTCTGTTCTTGCTTGCTAAAGATCAAAGAAAGTAACTATAAAGTTAAACAGATGCAAAAAAAATTTACACACAAAGAGTAAGCAGATTAAGCAACACTGATAAAAAAAATAGTAATTTTTAACTCCTTCAGTCCCAGGAAACGCATCTGTTTTTTTAATTTGTTTCAACCTGGCGGCCCAATCGACGCGCCACAAGTGAAGGTTTTTAATCTACCACTGACTGGTTGTAAAATGCGGACCACTCAATTTCAACTTCCTTCCGAGTTCTTTGTGTCTGATATCAGGTGTGCTCATTTAGAAACGAGATTCGCGATTTACTGTTTGTTTGAAAAGAATATGGCCGCTAAGCACTATTCTACGTGCATGCCAACATGATTAATGGCCTTAGAAGCCTAACATTTAAATAAATTACATGTTTTTTTAGATTTATCCGAAGTTAAATAACACTGCGAATTAGATGTGTTTCAGTCATTTATAGAGTCAAACTTTAATGGATATATCTAATCTGTACCTCACGAGATGGGTAAAATGATAGCAAAGTCAGCTGACATAAATAGAATAAACATTAGTGAAAAGATGATTTTCTTCAGTGTAGTTAGTTCTAGTGCCATTCCCCTTTTTATTGAGGAACATAGCTACAAAATTACAGGCAAATTGAGTGTTATATAAAACTTCATTTTGCGTGAAGATACTTATTGTTTTGGGAGTCAGTTTTCTTTACCAAATAATAGTGCTCTGTTATGATGCTTTAAAAGATTCTCTGGAACAAAATCTAATGTATAGATTGAGTTTATTTTTCACGTATACATTACTAAGTGGTTCATATTCATTTGTGATTCATTTTGGATACATTTTAACCAGTTTTTCTTTAGTGCCATGATGGTAAGTGGAAATCTGTTTATTTCATTTTACTAATTTTTGTAAACATACCGTCTATTTATTTACAAATTTTTAATTACTATCATAATTATTTGTTGTAGCTCTATGCTAAAATTATTTTTCAAAAATCCCTGGTCACTTTGATGTATGTGTATGCTGCGCTGAAATTGAATTAGTATGGTCTGTTTTAATGTCTTTTACCACCTTTTTTAGGGCGCTGTACAGCTACTGTCTGTTTTACCACCTTTTTTAGGGCGCTGTAGATGTGGGGAGGAGGGCGTCGTGAGCCTGAGGATTTATGGCTGCATGGCTAGTGCTGTCACCATAGACTGTACAGGTCAGGTTGTTTAATCTTCCCCCAAAAAGAAAAACTTTATCACCTTACCGGAGGTCGAGCTAAAAAAGGTCACCAATCCCAAACTAGTGATGGTTGCAGAAAGATAACAGAAAGAAAAAAAAACTAGTTGAAGCCTCACTTGCAGAAAGAAATGAAAACCGTCACTTGATGTCGTCTGCCGCGAAACAGAGCTGCACACTTTCGTGTAAGGGCTCAAATGAACAGGAGCCGCTTTTCCGCACATGGGGTGTATAGACGGCGAAAGCAAAGGAACATATATCCTAATAACCCAACAACATAGTACAGCCTGTGGAAACAGACCATGGTATAAATGGGAGCCGGCACGAAATCTCACACCTCGTGAGTTGCGGTGAGTTTCATGATGTGTACCAGATTTTTTAGTTACATTAATAAAAGTTAAAAACCCCTGATTTTCTTCTTTATTGACTGATGACTCACATCTGTATTGATACATGACAAGGCAGATGTGGTCAAAGCCCTTTGGGAACAAGCAACTGAATCAGTAGAGAAAGAAGAGTATTATGGCCTGGAGAGAATGAAGCACCTGGGTGTAACCAGAGGGTCTGGCTGGCTCGCTACACTCAGAGGAAAGGCAAGACCGACATTTAACCAGATTGTGACCGGTACCATCAGTATTGGAACTCTGCGCTGGGCTGCTGAAGATGAGAACGGAAAATGCATGGGAATGCTTCGAGTGCTGAGATGTCAATTTTTGACTCAACTCATCTGTACTGAAAAAACAATTAGAGGCTTCCTAGCCCTTTCGCTGCTACGTTCCCGGAAATAGTTGTCCTCCCTGTGCTAAGCAATGTGAAAAAAAAAGTCTCTGCTGTGCGCAATACTTTTCTATCCTCTAAACGCAGAAGATGCGTCCGCGGTGAGGGCTATATTTTGTACACCTAAAATATTTTACCCTGGGGAGTTGTGTGGTTGGTCCGAGTGGTGACAAGTCAGAGGCACGATGGTGCCCCCACACCCCACACAAACTTGACTAACGGAGCTATCACACTTCGGGGGGGGGGGGGGGGGGGGGGGGGGGGGTTCTATCCTTTAAACGGGGGGCGGGGGGGGGGGGGGGGGGTGGTGGGGGGGGGGGGGGGAGACGGGGGGCGATTTAGGGGGGGGGAATTAATGGGAGGAACTGTTCCCAGTCCGTATCCCAAAATGTGATTGACGAACCTACCACGGCTGCCACTTTAATCATATTTACTTGTAGTCACCATGTTATTACATACCAAAAAAATAAAAAATAAATATTCACAATAATACTCAAGTCGTCCGTTGCTGAAAAGTAGCAAGAACTCAAAGAAAAATTTACAATTAATTAAAAAAAAAAAAAAAAAAAAATTCGGGGGTTGAACACACGACCCTCCGATTCTAAGGCGAACGTGATACCAATTACACTATGCTACCGCTTGACGCCTTGTGCGTTGTGAATGATCATAATGAATGATGTGCGCAGACTATCAATTATGTGTCTAAGTTTGTAGTCTATCGCCGCCCGCATGAGCACTGTTGTCTAAGAAATGTTTGAGATTCTCAACAATAGTAAAAATATGTCCCTCGACATTATTTTACGGGAGTTTTTAGCAAACAGTCTTTGCTCAAGTACTCTATTTTGAGTTTCTTTGTTCTAAGCATTAGCAGACGGACAGAAAAAAAGATTAGTTCGTCCGAATCTGTGTCTGTCCATCTTGAAAGACGAGAAATTTTAATGACTTAACTGTCTGAATTTACAGTAGCAGAAATACAGTTAGAGCTGGAGTCATCAAAATCATGTACTACTGGTTTCAAATCCTCGGTTCATCAAGATAACTGATCAATTTATTGCCGTTTTGATAGCGCTTCATTGTCGCTGCTCTCTGATTCCGACGATGAGGACGTCGGACAGGTAAACAGCTTTTTTTGGACACGCCGGTTTCAGCAGTCGATACTGATGGCCTAGTCAAATCTTCTTGTTCACTGTCAGAAGTACACATTTCAAAGTCATCGTCGCTATCACTTTTGACAGAAACTCCATCAATTCTTAATCAACTTTAACAAGTTTTCTTGCCATTTTGTACAAAGTGTAGAATAATCCAAAAGCACAAATATATATCAGGGCACAAAATACACAGATCACCGACCACGCTGTCACGGTAAACAAAGCAACGGGATAACGCAAAATGCAGTAAACACGCCTTAAACACACCTAAAAGTACGTGCCAGTGCTTTTAATCATATGTATATTGGTCAGTTTAATCTAAATATAGCTAATGTATATTGCCCTTCAGCTAATAAAATATGAGGTAACAGAAATCTGTAAGAAAAGTCCAAAAAACGGCTTAGGACGTCCATAGCACTGGGGGTCAAGAAAAAAAATAACGTCCAAAGACGGGCGTAGCAGCGTACGGGAAATCGGGAAAAGACGTCCATAGCAGCGAAAGGGTTAGAGTGGACAATGGACACGATAGAAGATGAATGCTAAAGTAAGGATTCAAAAGTACATCACCATCTGGGGGGTGGGGGGGGGCAGGGGGGGGGGTCAGGACCAGGAATCATACTGATGAAAACTGATACACGTCCACATGCTTGTCCTAGAAACAGGCTTCTTACCTGCGGCCTGACCAACACAAATTGGATCATTTCCTCGGATGTCAGTGATGGTGCCCTAAGAGGTGAGGAACCAACAGTCTGTATGCAATAAGCTAATTCTGTAAAATGTATGTGCACAAGGGGGATAGCATCCTGGAACAAGACCAAAAGTCCAGACACCACAACCACTGAGTGCAGTAAAAGAAGTAGGACAACAACAATGAGGAGGAGGAGGAGAAGGAGAAGGAGGAGAAGGAGAAGACGTAGAAAAAAAAAAAACGTCAAGGACGAAAATATTAAAATAGCAACAACAAAAAAAGAGAGAAAAAAACGGTGAGTGAAAATTAACAAACTGTAGTTCTGATTACCTATTATATGTTTCCACTTTTGCTGGTTGTTGTCGCTGCTGCTGCTGATAACTTTGTACTTGGGAATGATGATACTGCTGCTGTTGTTGTGACTGTGGATGCTGTTGTTGTGACTGTGGATGCTGTTGTTGTGACTGTGGATGCTGTTGTCGGTACTGATTTTGTTGCTGATGTGGCATTTGAGACGGTTGCTGGTGGTGAAACCGGAAAGCCTGTTTCTCTTGTAATGGCATGGCATGCCTGATCTGGTGCTCCGAAGGTCTGGGATGTTGCTGTCTTGGCAGGAAAGGCTGTCTTAGTTGCTGCTGATGCGGAGGTTGTCTCTGCTGATGTTGCTGTTCTTGTGGAAGTTGTCTCTGTTGTTGCTGCTGTTGATGTGGAGGTTGTCTGTGCAGTTGTTGCTGTTCTTGTGGAAGTTGTTTCTGCTGCTGCTGCTGTTGATGTGGAGGTTGTTTGTGCTCCTGTTGCTGTTCTTGTGGAAGCTGTTGCTGCTGCTGTTGCAGAGGTTGTCTTTGCTGTTCTTGTGGATGTTGTCTCTGCTGTTGCTGCTGCTGATGTGGAGGTTGTATTTGCTGATGTTGCTGTGGCTGAAAAGGTTGCATGTTTTGCTGATTTGTTTGAGAAGGCAGCCTACTCAACGGTTCCAGCTGCTGTTGTGTCATGGATGGCTGCTTTTGCTGTGATGACTGTACTTGCTGATGCTCCTCTTGTAGCTGTACTGAATGCAAAGGCTGCTGTAGTAGTGGTTGCTTTTGCTGCTGCTGATACTGCTGTAAGTGTGAACTTTGACTTGTCTGGTGTTGTTTTGTTTGAGGAGCCTGCTGCTGCAAAGGCTGATTTTGCTTTCTTTCTTCTTGGTGTGGCTGTAACATTTGTTTCTGGTTTTGCTGCTTATCCAAAGGCTTATTATACTGTTCTTCTTGCTGTTTATGTGGAAACTCTTTTGTTTCTGACTGTTTTGGCTGTGCATTCTCTCCTTGCTGACTGTACCTGCTTGGTTGTTGTAACTGCTGAATTCTGGGTCTTTCCTGTGAAGGCAAATTTGGCTGTTTTGGGTCAATCAGCTGTTTCTCCTGCAGCACTGACTGTGCAAGACTGGCTTGTGGTTTTAGCTGTAGCTGAGATGCCTGCCTTTGTTTTTGTTGGTTATCCTGTTGTGACAACAGTGGATTTGACTCCTGTTTTTGCAGGGGACGTGGTTGCTGTTGCTTCTGCTGCCTATTCTGTTGATCATTAGCTTTCCTGGCAGTACAATGTCTAGCCAGATGACCTATCTTTCCACAGAAATGACACCCACGAATGTTTGGGGGTCGAGATTCAGAAAGCAGTTCAGAATCAAAAAAGTAGTCCTGCAAATTTAAACAAAAACATGTATTATTTAAAAAAAAAAAAAAAGGTTAAAATAATATATTTAAGTTAAAGCAACTTTATGGCAAATAGATCATCTCATACTGCTCCAGTCCTGAGCCAGCAAACACCACATATAATTACTGTAGCTGTCCTTTATGAAAATACTGAAACAGGCTGCAGATAGCATTCATATGCACAACAGCTGAACTTGAAAAAAAGATATAAGTGAGAGAAATTAGATCTTTCTAAAAAAAATTCTTGGCATGTCATAGAGAGACCACATCACAAATGACGAACATGTAATAAGATCTAACAGCCTTTCAACAATAATACTACAGGGTTCAGTACAGGGGAAGAGGAGAAAAGGCAGACTAATAAAGACCTGGGAACAGAACTTGACTGACTGGACAGGCCTTAGTCATGCAATCATTAAGTCCAATACATGTGACCATCAAAGGTGGAGGGAGCTGATAGACAGTCTACAGAAACTGGTGACCAATGACACGCTGTGTTATGGGGCGATGACGCTGAGTACCCCGCAAAATGAGGCCCTGGAACCGACACAAAGACATACATACTAAAAAAAAAAAACATAAATACTTACATAAGGGTTCCTATACTTGCTATACAATTCCATGTTGTTGTCAATGGGGCTGCCATGTAACATTCGTCCATTGATAAATGTCTTGAAAATGAAATTATTCACTGAAACAAAAGACAATTCTAATGGCACAACTCTTATCATCTTTGCTAACTTTTTGTATTTCTACTAACTTCCTTTTCTTCTGCTCATGGCAGTAAATGTCACACAGAAAATTCCTTACAAATTTTCTGCAACACATTTCTTTGCCTGGGTGTTAATTAGTTAGTCACAGTCGCCGTGGCCGAGCGGCTAGACGCTCGCCGCGGATCGGAAGGTCGTGGGTTCGCTTCCTGGTGGAGACGGACTTTTCTTCAAAAATGACCTTGGCTCCCAGGTCGACCCAGCCTTGAGTGGGTACCGGGTGCAATCCCGGGAAGTAGAGGCGACCGGCGTGATGCTGACCAAATCACCCATCTTGTGCCCGTTGGTCTATAAAAATATAGGTCTAGCCCTATATGCCCTATACGCCTAAAGGCGTGGAAAGGGTCCTTTACTTTACTTTACTTACTGTTCTTAGGTATAAATGCAACATATAAATCTGTCCTGACACTCTTGAGCAGCTTTCTTAGTGAACAGTTTCAATCATGGTGTTTGTTTCTCAAGGGATATCTTATCACATTATTCTGTGTATAAGACGCCCCCAGTAAAAGACAATCCGTTTGTTTGTTGTTTTTTTTAGTCAAAAAAAAAAGACATACAAATTTTAAACACCAAACAGCTGTGATATTATATAACAGCCTAGTGTGCAGTTTACCTTATTTGATGATTTAGCATTTATGGTATGTACTGCATTTATTCCTTGACGCCAGCCTTTGCAAATGCTGACAGAGGATCTGCGACTGCCAGAGTGAGCGCACTTGGAGAACAAGGGGTCTGGGTAGCCAGGGGTGGCCAAGTAAACTAGGTGGAAGGGACAATGCCCAGAATGGAGGCTAGTGGGAGAGAGGGTTGGGGGGGAGTTCCAGGCCAGGGTTTGTCATGAGGCCAAAACTGAGGGGGGAGTCGCCGTAGCAGAGCGGCTAGAGGCTCGCGGGTGGATCGGAAGGTCGTAGGTTTGTTCCCTGGTGGAGCCAGACATTTTTTTTCAAAAAATGACCTTGGCTTCCAGGTCGACCCAGCCTTGAGCGCGTACCAGATGCAGTCCTGGGAAGTAAAGGCGACCGGCGTGATGCTGACAACATCACCCATCTTGTGCTGACTGGTCTTTAAGAATATAGGTCTAGCCCTATATGCCTAAAATAGGCGGAAAAGGGTCCTTTCCTTTTTTTTTTCACTTTTACAAAATTAAGGGAAGGCTGGGGAAAACAATATGGATAGCGACATGTATTTATTGACATATTTAATTGCAATATTAAGATATAAACAACCCCCAATTTTAATCTTTAAAAAAAATTGGTAAGTCTAACCCTGGCAATAAATGCCTGCAGAAGAAGTTGGATGGCTGAAAAGACACAAATATCACCACTATGCTGTAAACGGGCACAACACATTTACATCTTCAGATGAATGAAGGAGGAGGAGAAGAAGAAGAAGAAGAAGAAGAAGAAGAAGAAGAAGAAGAAGAAGAAGAAGAAGAAGAAGAAGAAGAAGAAGAAGAAGAAGAAAAAGAAAAAGAAGTAGAAGAAAGAGGAGGAGGAGAAGGAGAAGAAAAAGAAGGAGGAGGAGGAGAAGGAGAAGAAGAGGAAGAAGAAGAAGGAGGAGGAGAAGGAGGAGGAGGAGGAGAAGGAGGAGGAGGAGTAGAAGAAGAAGAAGAAGAAGAAGAAGAAAAAGAAAAAGAAGAAGAAGAAGAAGAAGAAGAATAAGAATCTTATTCTAGCAATTCATCTGTTATTTTGAAGGACTAAGGCACTGTTAATCTCCAGTGCTTGTAGTATCAGGGGATTTCCTATCCTAAAGTTATGACAACATATGGTAAATGTAACACAGACATACATGCATACACACATTCTGACACATTTTTATTAGTGACAAGTTTCATGCAATAGTGCTTGCTCTTCAAGGATAACTTTACATTACTCTAGAAATCTCTCTGTTGTTCAAAGGAATAGACAATTACCAAACTTTGACAGTTATGGTCACAGTGAACCACTCTCCTGATGTTGTCCTCTCACTTAAATCATTGACTACCTCTTGCCTCCAACTTTTACCTCCACTATGGTTTATTAAAAAGTGTTATGTAGTTTAATGTAGTTGAAATATTTCAACTATCTCTTTCTTATTTCTTTTAGTAGAAGGTCAACCAGAGAGATGAATGGAGGTGGGTGCTATCTGCAGCAATGAACCTTAAGGGCTCGGAATGCTGACGAAGAAGAAGATGGAGGATGAATGGTGTATCCAGGTTTTGCCTTGTTGTCCTGCTATCTGGATTCAGATGTTGTGATCTCAGGGTGTCAAACCTTCAGATAACAGGCCGCGGGAAACGACACAAACATACACAAACATGCACACACCTCTCTCTTTCTCTACCTTTGAGAATAATAAATAAAATCAAATAATTATGCATGACTTACTATTTCTTGTCAATCCTGAGCCCAAGTTATGACTGTGGTCGAAAGGATCTGAATACAATAATAAATCAATTACAAAACATCCCAAAGAACATATATTTACAAGCTGTTAAATCTCCATTTCAAAGACATAATAATTGTTGCAACTATTAATTGTTTCATCACAATATACTTTTTCAAACAGTTTTTTTTTTTAGGTGGGGGGAGTTGGCGTGTCACTTTCATTACACTCAGATTTCTCCAAAGAATGCTCCAGTCTCCTCTCAAAGACACAAAGTGTGCAAATTTCATGGTAATGATGAAGATTCACGTGTGTATATGTTGAATCTTTGAATCTTTCTTCTTCTTCCTCAGTATTCCGAGCTCTTCAGGTTCATTGCTGCAGATTTTACCAGGATCTGTGATTGGCCTTCTCTTTCCAGTTGCTGACTCTCAAGTGTTTGTAGGACTGCATGTATATAATTTCTTCATCTTCTTGGTTTGCGTTATACTCTAATCCCATTCAACTCTTTTATAGGTTTTTTTCTGTCTTTTATCTCCCTTTCCATCATTTGCACCAACCATTGCAGACTATTAGCTTTCATGAAGCCAGTAATTAGTGGTGATTTCAACAGATGATGAATCTCATTGGTGCATCTCCCTCTCCGTCATCGGATGATTACATCTCTGATTGGTCCGAAAATTTGTCACACTGCTGTTTTCAAACGTCTGTAATTTTACTTTCCTTTTTTTGTCTTTTATCTTCATTCCATCCATATGCCACAACCACAGCAAACTCTTAGCTTTCATGATGCTGATAATTAGTAATATTTAAACAGATAATGAATCTCATTGTTGCTTCTCCCTGCTGTTTACATTGCTGACTGGCCTGAAAATAGATATTCAGAATGTATTTTCAATTTCCAGCTGTAGAAATATTTTGTAATATCTGTTAGGTGAACATGAGTCGCCCAAATTGCTGTGTCAAAAAAAAGGCCAGAGAATCTATGCTCCTATAAATAATAATGTTCAAAGAGGTCATACCTATAATATAGTAAAGGTCCCTTTTTCACGCATTTAGAGTATTGGGAATATAGGGCTAGTTCTATATTTTTATAGACCAATCTGTGCCATGACCAACCACATCTATCAGCATAGCACATGATGATGATGATGATAACTCAAGAATTCAATTTCTGACTTTAAATAAACTTCTTGCTGGCACCTTTTCATCTTTCTAAATGAGGCATCTTTCTATCTTTCTAGATGAGGCATCTTTTTGTCTTTCTAGATGAGGTATCTTTTTGTCTTTCTAGATGAGGCATCTTTTTGTCTTTCTAGATGAGGTATCTTTTTGTCTTTCTAGATGAGGCATCTTTTTGTCTTTCTAGATGAGGTATCTTTCCATCTTTCTAGATGGGGTATCTTTCCATCTTTCTAGATGGGGCATCTTTCCATCTTTCTAGATGAGGCATCTTTCTAGATGAGGCATCTTTCCATCTTTCTAGATGAGGCATCTTTTCATCTTTTTAGATAAGGTATCTTTCCATCTTTTTAGATAGGGTATCTTTTCATCTTTTGAGATAGGGTATCTTTTCATCTTTCTAGATGAGGCACCTTTCCATCTTTCTAGATGAGGCATCTTTATATCTTTCTAGTTGAGGCATCTTTCTATCTTTCTAGTTGAGGCATCTTTATATCTTTCTAGTTGAGGCATCTTTCTATCTTTCTAGTTGAGGCATCTTTCCACATTTCTAGATGAGGCACCTTTCCATCTTTCTAGATGAGGCATCTTTCCAGATAAGACATCTTTCAATCTTTCTAGATAAGGCATCTTTCTATCTTTCTAGCTGAGGCATCTTTCCACCTTTCTAGATGAGGCATATCTCCATATTTCTAGATGAGGCATCATTCCATCTTTCCAGATGAGGCATTTTTTCCTTCTTTTCATCTTTCTAGATGAGGCACCTTTCCATCTTTCTAGATGAGGCATCTTTCCATCTTTCTAATTGAGGCATCTTTCCATCTTTCTAGTTGAGCATCTTTCCACCTTTTTAGATGAGGCATCTTTTCACCTTTCTAGATAAGGCTTCTTTCCATCTTTCTAGATGGGTCATCTTTCCTTCCTTCTAGATGAGGCATCTTTCCATCTTTCTTGATGAGGCATCTTTTCCTTCTTTATATCTTTCTATATGAGGCACCTTTCCATCTTTCTAGATAAGGCATCTTTCCATCTTTCTAGATGAGGCATCTTTACATCTTTCTAGATAAGGCATCTTTTCCATCTTTCTAGATGAGGCATCTTTTCATCTTTCTAGATGAGGCATCTTTCCGTCTGTCAAGATGATAGTGATATAATATGCTAAAGGGAGGCAGGTGAATCACAGCTCATGGTGATTTGCTGCTTAGGCCAGGGATGAAGTTCTTGCTCACCACAGCATAAAGACTCTGCAATATTGTAGACATGATGCTAAATATAACACAAAATGAGTTGAGTTGAAATAAGAATTGACATCACAGCACTCGGGGCATTCTCATGCATGCTTTATCCTCATCTTCAGCAGCCAGCGCAGAGTTCCAATACTGATGGTACCGTAGAAAGCTCAGCGGAGGGAATGGAAAAGATGCACCTAAACACAACCACACGTTTCGACCAAGGTCTTTATCAACTCTCAAATATTATCTTTATCTAGTCACATTTGTTGTTATTTATCTATTTAAAATAAAAAATTAAAATTAAAAAAGACATTTCTTGAATCAGCTCAACTGCAGTCATGCCCTATTTATGTCATTACTGTAGAGACCATGTCTTGACCGTGCAGTAATGATCCCTTTCTCAGCCCGGGTTGTTTACTCAAAAGGAAAGTAACACCAATATGCTTGGAACAAAGCATGCTGCAGAAGTTGCTTGGTGAGAAGATCGGTGTGCTGTCTGTCTGCTGGGCAGAACTTCCCTCCTAGACCACCTGCTAAGCAAGGCTAAGGGTCCAAATGATAGTCAGTATCATTTAAAACCATTCATCATGTAGCAGGTCCTTTGCATAACGTCGCTTATATCACGAAAGAAACTCTGTTTCTCACTTCGTGTATTTTCATATTCAAGGAGTCACTTAAATCTTATGCTCATCTTTGTGTTGGTCTGCTTCTGCCTCTCCTTCCTGGTACTATGCCTTCTGCTAATATCCCCCCCTTCCCCCTTCGCCATGGCGCTTGATATGACCAAAATAGTTTAGCTTCCCAGAAAAGATGAGGCATCATTCCAGATGAGGCATCTTTCCAGATGAGGCATCTTTTCCTTCTTTTCATCTTTCTAGATGAGGCATCTTTTCCTTCTTTTCATCTTTCTAGATGAGGCATCTTTCCATCTTTCCAGATGAGGCATCTTTCCATCTTTCCAGATGAGGCATCTTTTCCTTCTTTTCATGTTTCCAGATGAGGCATCTTTCCATCTTTCCAGATGAGGCATCTTTTCCTTCTTTTCATCTTTCTAGATGAGGCATCTTTTCCTTCTTTTCATCTTTCTAGATGAGGCATCTTTCCATCTTTCCAGATGAGGCATTTTTCCATCTTTCCAGATGAGGCATCTTTTTCTTCTTTTCATCTTTCTAGATGAGGCATCTTTCCATCTTTCTAGATGAGGCACCTTTCCATCTTTCTAGATGAGGCATTTAGCCAATCTTTCTTGACGTTCAGATATTTTATAATGTCAGTATTTCTTCTCTTCTTTGTCCATGGTATTCTGAGGACCTTTTTATAGCATTTCAGCACAAAAGCCCCTATTTTCTTTCTTAAGGACTGGGAGATAGTCTACAAGTCACATTCCTTATGCTGCTACAGGCAAGATGCATGCTCTCAAAATTTTAATTTTTATTTCATTGCTGGTTTTTAATCATATACTTTTAATGCTTTACCACCATTATACTGTGCAAAAACCAAATTAACAATACTAAAAAAAAAAAAAAAAATGAAAATTAAAGGCTACAACAATAATAACTCAACCTTCAATGGCTATGTTTTCACCATTCCACAGCTTATCAAACCGTGTCACTGGCTCCTTCTGGCGGATAGAAACCACAATCTCCTTACAGTTGAACTCTTCAACATAGAAGCGCAGAAAACCTATCCAGAGTTCTGCAGGGGACATCTTGTTCTTGCCCTTATCCGACCACAGTGTATTCTAAGAGAAGACAAATAGGGTCACACTTTTTGTTGAAATAGGAATGATAATATCATACTAAAGTGTATTTTCTTCTGTACTATATATAGTCTTTTTCTAAAACTTGAGTTTGTCATGCACGTCTTTTTTTTTCCTTACTATTATAGGACAACTGCTTCAAAACATTCTAGGACTGAAAGAGTTAAATAGCAGGGTTCGATTTCTATAGCAGATGTTTTTCATGTTTTGACAAATGGAACTGTTCTCTTGGTTTTTATACCTCTTATATGATCCTGCTTGTTCAATTCTCCCTCTTTCGAAAATAAAGTTTATATAGTGATTCTAAAACTAAATGGTTTAATGTTTTGTTCAACAATTCTAGTGGTAACAGTCATTCTGCGAAGTGACTGAGCCATTGATATGGGATAAAAAATCTGGTGAAAAAAGTCGGTCTTCTTACTCTTAGAAACTCTTTCCATTCACTGTAGTTTTGTCTGCAAATTACTGTTTGGCTCGACTCAGTGTTAAATGTTGAATTAAGAATTGAACATCATAGCGTTTGGGACACTAAGATAAGCAATCCGTCCCCATCTTCAGGAGGCAAAGAGTTCCAATTCCGACAGTACCAGTAACTGTCTGAATGTACTTACGCCTTTCTTTTCCTTTAAGTGTTGAGCACTGGCCAGATCCCCTGGTAGCTCCCCGCTGTGCCATTCTCTTACTCTCAAGTATATCCATACCTACTTTATGTTCATTTTATTATGCTCTGTCACTTAGTGTGATTTTATATTTTCTGTCAGATTTGACCATCTTATACAGAGAAGCCTTTACAAATACATGAAGAATCTATATTATATAAGTACTTATAATATATGCTTCACCTAATGAAAAATGTGATTTGAACCTTTTTTTTTTAAAACCCCCGCCCAACTCACGTCTTTTGATTATTCAATAAATGATAAACATTTCTCAACTCATTTTGTCCATAATCAATTCTATTCCGGATGTTACTTCGACCCATTCTATCAAAAATTTCTACTGGTTGAACTCCTGAAGACTGAACGTTTATACTCCCTTGGTTGGTTCTGGGCCCCATCTGGGGTTAACAAAAATAGGTCCACTGCCTCCCAACAAACAAGTCGCACCAAGGTGACTAAACAGGGATGTTCCCTTCTAAGTAGAAGTGCATCTGCCTGAGAGGCAAGGGACCAACCGTGTACATACAAACAAGATGGTTCTGTAAAATGGATGTGGACATAAAACTCAAGTTCTGCAACAAGATTAAAGTCTAGAAGTAAATGAACAACCAGAACTTTCTGCCAGAGTTTACAGCCTGTTAATGCTAAGAAGAGGAAACAGAAGATTCTAATGTAAATAAACTCTGGGACAGAGAGTGGTGAAGTAATAATTATTTAAACAGTCAAGAAATTTTCATTTTATATTTACAGTATGATGAAGATACACAAAATGTACTATGTACTACAGCATTACAGTAAACTTAACCACAGCAATACAGTAAACTTAACCACAGCATACAGTAAACTTAACCACAGCAATACAGTAAACTTAACCACAGCATTATTGAATAGTGTTAAAGACTGATTTTTAAGTACTTACAACATCAAAGAGACACACAATCTGAAGGAAAGCTACAGTAGGGAAAAGCATGCAGAAGGAAAACATCATTTGTGAGCACAAAACATTACATATTAATTGGCGGAAAAACTGTACAAGTGCACCATGAAAAAAAGGACATAAAGTGCTGGACACAATTAACAAATCATAATCATAATAATAAAAATATAATATACATACTACTTTTTAAAAAAAAAAATAAAAAGAGAGATAAATTGCTTAACGATGTTTTCTGTCTTCTTTTCCCACACCTTCAAGTGCATTGGCCATACAGGGCTAGACAATATTTTATAGACCAATCGGCACTTGGTGGGTGATGTGGTTAACAATAAGAAGGTCTCTCTACTTTACATGACTAAACCTGGTACCCATTTCAGGCTGTGTCTGACCTGGGAGCCAAGGCCATTTTTGAGAAAAGTCCGACACCATCAGGACCTGATCCCACGACCTTCAGATCTGTAGGTGAGTGTCTAGCTGCTATACAGCTTTACAGCATGAAAAAATAAAAATAACATTCCGTTTCATAAATGTGCTTTTATAAAATAAACTGGCAGTATCTGACAATGTCTTTACGCTGACAGCACAAATCTATCTATATCCAATAACTATGTGTCACTGAGTTACTGCTGGCTGTGCTGAACAGATCTTTCCATTTCTGGTGACATTCGGTAACATCGCAATGTCAGGTTAAAACGTGGAGGCCGTCCAAGTGGCCAAGTTTTTGGATCAAGCTTTCTTGTAAATTGATTTTAGTATAGTTTCCAACGGCAGATGAGGAAGGTAAGAGACTCAAAAGTAGTCCATGCCATGCAGTTCTGGTGGTCAGACCTGCGCCCAGTAGTTATGTCTAATGTATTTAATTAAGTATGATAGTTGTCTACATAATGACAGAAACGTGAAGGATATCATCACACCACTATCCCAAATTAAGTGTGCTCCAATCGTCCCTCTTTACTTGACTAAAATAACAAAGGCTTTTTGTCAGATTTGCCAAGGAACCAGTATAGAATTGATAGATAATGGGATATATATATAAATCAATTATATCACGAAGATATTATAAAGACAATATGGTACCAGATAATAAGATTATATAAAGGCACATAAAAGGGTGTTTGTTGGTGGAATTATGAGCTCAAAGACTCGGAAACCCAAATAAAAAGATTTTTCTGAAATTTTCAAAACAAAAGTTTGTTTTGATACCGGATGTACACCCACTAACTCGAAGATTCAACACTGTCATTGTGAGAGATCCAAAGCGCAATCATGGAAAAATCTTCGAACTAATATTTACATTTTTATGCGACAGTTAATCATAGCCACTTTAGTAAATGAGAGTGATAGTCAGAACGCAAGATTCCACCATTCGCCTGCGAGCTACAATCCAGCCATCGCCATAAATGATAAAAATAGAAAACGCATTATTCAGCAAAAAGAAATCTTAAAAAGATGGGAGGCATGATTGCCAAAAGAACCATTTGAAAACTGTCGGAATTCTGAAACAGCAGAATTCCATTCAAGGGCAACAGATCGATGAGAACCAAAGTAGGCTGATGGATTGGAAGGGAAGGGGGGGGGGGGCATCAAGGCCTATCTCGACGTCAGCGCAGACCATCGACTGCGACATTAACAAAAGAAGTCATGTGCGATTTCCTATTGTTGTGGACAATAATATCACCTGGAAGATCTGTCAATAGAAAACAATGGGCAGCTGATTTGAGTTGTATTATTATCGGGACACAAAATCTCAAATAGTTTTTAGTACTTTTCATGGAAGGAAAATGAAGTGGCTGCTTGGTCGAATGTTAGAACACTGGGACTCCCGTCCGGGAGACATGGGTTCGAATGTATTGCAAAGTGTCTTTTTTTTTTTTTAAGAGCAAAGGTAAAATAAAATACTGAGTAAAGCACAATTCGGTTCAGGAAAGGGCGAGGTTGCACTGATGCCATATGTCCCCAATACTAAAACAAAGCGGTGAAAAGACCATAGCGTTCATTTCCTATAATGAGCTGATTTTTCCTGTTTTCTTTGTAGTCTCAATTGTTTTTTGTTTTCGACCGTGTGAGGGAAAGAGTAGTCGCTGAATTTGGGGAAGTCTTGGGGATTACGGAGTGCAGGGTCAAACTGTTTTACTGAGAGAGCATTAGAGTCACAGTAAACTGCTTTAAAACTAAAGTAGCAGCAGCTAGTAGTCTTTGTGAATGGGCTTTACAAGTGCACAACATGTGAAGACCGCCGGTAAGGGTTATGGCATTACTTCTTCTCGGGAATACATGGATAAGATCACTAACCTGACCAGTCCCAGACAACAGCACTGCTATAAACGAACCAAACTTTGGCTCACGACTCACCTGTCTACTCCGATGGTAAAAGATATAGAAGTACATTATTTTCTGACTACTCTCAACAATACAGCTGTTTACTGGTAATATGAGAATCAGTACAGAAAAAAACAGAGTTATGAAGATCACACCTAACACACAGGCTCACTAAATATAGAATGTTGGGAAGTGCCAATGTCAAGCAAACAACAAAGAGTTTCAAAATATCTTGGGCAGTGATGATTTTACAAAGGAGGAAGAATGGATAGAGAGCAGTAGTAAACAAGAATACAGGAGGGGATGCTGTCACATACCACCTATCACCTCTGCTTAAACTTCCAGAGCTTTACACATGAAGACCAAGACAATTGATAACTTAATCTGTCATATCCAACACTCTGCTACCAGTGCCAGTCAATTTTTTGACAATTTAACAAGTACCCATGCTGTAGAAAAATAGAAGCCTGTGAAAATACAAATGTCTTTAATGTGAAAAGCAGCATTTTTGTTACTGAATAAGACCAGACTAGACAGTATAAAGACATAAGATATTAGAAACACTGTCAAAACTACAAATGTTTAGACTATATATCTGTGCATCAAAGAATGATTGGTTTGACATTCTAACCAGATGAAAAATGATTCAAATAACATCACAAATTTTCAACCAAAAACCAGGATATAAGGCAAGAGGAAGACCATGGTGGGATGGATTGGGGGGGTCTCCGAAACCTGCCAAAAGCATGGCCTCAGAACATCAGATGCTGCCCGCCTTGAGCATGACAATGAACTTGCATCTCCCCACAACGCTTAGCGGCATACGTGGAAGGAAAATGTAAAGCCAAAGTATGCCACAACAACGCGTGGCCGGGTACAGCTAGTATATATATATATATATATATATATATATATATATATATATATATATATATATATATATATCTATATATATATATATATATATATATATAAAGAATTCAATTTCTGACTTGAAATAATCTTCTTGCTGGCACCTTTCCATCTTTCTAAATGAGGCATCTTTCCATCTATCTAAATAAGGTATCTTTGCATCTTTTAGTTAGGGTATCTTTTCATCTTTCTAGATGAGGCACCTTTCCATCTTTCTAGATGAAGTACCTTTCTATCTTTCTAGTTGAGGCATCTTTCCACCTTTCTAGATGAGGCACCATATTTATATATACACACACACAGGCATATAAAGATTTCATAGTTTTAGATTCTTTTAATGCGTGAAATGTGTGGATGAGAAATTTCACTGTAGAATGTGTTTCCAGTGCAGTTAACGAGCAAGGTTTATGATTTAATACCAATCTCAAGTAATTATTTCAACAGCATTATTCTATGCAGTATAAACTGTGTGTAAGAAGGTTAAAATGACATGCTTAAGATGTCCCGCATTCAGCTTAAAATATTATGGTCACCATATATGATATCAAAATGCCCAGTGTCTTCTCTATCGGTCTTCCTTTGCTTCTTTTCGAATCCTTATTTTCCGACTGTCACGGGTTACTCCAGTATAGATCTCATTACATGTCTACAACATTGCCTTTTGCAAATTTTTATCGTTGAAAAGATTTGTAGTCCCCAATGTGCGGAATAATAATGTGTTCAACTTACTTATTCATAAATATCACAAACATAGTGTAAAAAATGTATCTTTGTAACCAACATACAATTTTAAAGTAGATGCAGTGCAACCTTACCAACTTTTTGAGGTCATCCATGAACCACACATCACATTCTTCAACAATAAGTTGTGGCTTCTCTTTGCTCTCATACAACTGTAGAACAGCAACAACAATAAGAATTCAGCCCATTTAACAAGCCCAGCAGTCAGCTAAAGCTTATGGCTTTTTTTAGCTTGTAAACAATCGTAAAACAAAGATAATTCAATTGTATAACATACTGTTACTATAGGTGGAATGTCTAACAATTTCTCAGTATTGTTAGAATTGGTTAGCTTCTCTGTTCTTTAGTTTTCTGTTCTCTAATCTTTACTCTGCCTTTCAGCATCACGTTTTGAAGATGCAACTAGTGCAAGCCTTGAGGGGGGTGGAGGGTGTGCGCTTGTGCGTGCGCCCGCTATGTAGATACAGGTATTTATGGCCTCAGATATTCTAGCCATCCAGATCTTGCATGGATGACCTTTTGATCTGCTTCTGTTATGATTTAGTGAAAGGATTATCTGGGATGGACTATCTTGTGGTAGTCTTGGCACATGTCCGAACCATCTGACATGTTGTCTGTTGTTGTACTTTAACACTGGTGCTGTCCCAACTTGTTTTCTGATATCATCAGTCTAGTCTTGTTACATTTAGGATTCATCATAAACATTTAATTTCTGTTGTTTCTATATTCCTTTACCCTTTTCGTGTTAGTATACCAGATTGGCAATGTTAACACAATGTTGGTGTTCAGAGCTTTTCTATGTTAAAGATAAATGTTAAAAATTAGCTGCCTGCTGTTGTTTAAGTGTCTTTTTATTCATCTTCAGGTGCCTGGTTTTGAGTAGACACTAATTATAATTCTTCTTTACTATGCTTTATCATTTGGTATTTCCATGAAGTTAGTGTTGCTTATATCATTATTTGTTGCCCAGCTGTCTTTCCTCCTTTTTTTTTTTAAGGGGACTAAAAAAGGGGATGGGGGATACAGACCAATACTCTTTTATTAGCGTGTCAGAAAGAGAGACTTGCTGAAATTGTATCTGCTGGACCTTTGGGTGCAGATATCACTGGTTCTTATAACCCATGCTGTGTCAGGCTGGTAGTCATTTCTATCCACAACCTTCTGTCTCATGTACTTTCAATTAATTCTGACACAGGTTATGTCAAAGTATCCAGCATCTCTTCTCTCAGTCTCCTTTTACCACTTTTCTCCTCTAGCTCTGACACCGTCACAATGTAGTCAAGTTTCCTCCTTCTCATGACATGACCAAAGAATGTAGCTTGTCTCCTTCTGATGTGGCAGATATCCCAGTTTAGCTGTAAACCACAAAACACCGTGCCAACTGCCCTCTCAAGTGTGAATGCAGAAGAAGAAGAGGATATCAAATATAAAGTTGTTACCTCCTGTAGAACTGGAAGCACTGGTGGCGACACCTGCTGGAGGTAGTAAATCATCATGAGAATATAGGCATACGATGACAAGCTGCCTCTAGATGCATCTCCAATATCGCAGACCTAGACGTTTTAAAAGACAAGACTGATGATAAAGTCATGTTTCTAAGAAAAATATGATCACAAAAATTACTAAACTTTTTTAGTACCATGGAACTCGCAGGGTGTTCAATGGTGTAGCGGCTAGATGCTTGCTAGCGGATCCAAAGGTCATAGGTTTATCTCCTGCCGGAGCCAGATTTTCTTTTTTTAAATGACCTTTGCTCCCAGGTTGACCTAGCCCTAAATGGGTATCAGGAAGAGTCTGGGAAGTAAAGGCAGCCAGCATGATGTGAGTGACTACATCACCAAAAGAGTGCCAACTGGTCTATACAATATACAGGGTTCATAGCCAAATTTACCAATCAATTTCAAGGCTTTTCAAGGTCTTTTTCAAGGTCTCCTTAGTTTTTTTCAAGGTTGTCTCGGTGTAATACTGAAACAAGATTTTTGCCTTGTTCAAGGGTGTACTGAGCATACAAGGTACTTCATTTGTGCCACATGTGTTGGTATACCAGCACAGATATCATCATCATGTAGCATTTCCTTTGTCCTGACAAAAAAACCTCGGTCTCTCACCAGCTCTCCCGTCTCATGTACTTTTTTATACTCAAGGAGTCACTTATATCCTGTGCCCATCTTCGTACTGGTCGGCCCCTGAGCTTGATATAGTGTTTGAAATTTTTTTTAGGGCTTGGTGGTAGAGGGCAGCAAACTGAAGTCCTGTCTGTTCTGGACCTGGTACCTGAGAGAGTTAGGGGAGAGAGAGAGAGAGTCATGAAGAGAGAGGAAGACACATGCTGAGGTAGGCTGGGGAGAGACAGTGTAAAGATGGACAGATGAAGGTAGAGAAAAGAAGGAAAAGAAGTCTGGGGAAGGAGGAAAAAATGAGAGGGAGGGATGGAGACATGATGAGGAAAAGTGGGGAAGGAACAGCGAAAGACAGAGAGGGAAAAAATACAGAAAGAGGGAATGCAGATACAGAGATGGGCAGATGAAAAGAGAAGGAAAAAGGGAACGAAATAGAGATATGGAAGGAGGAAAATATGACAAAGAGTTGAAAGAAGGGAGACAGAGGGAGAGAGAACGGACAGGGTGAGAAGCAGATGCAAGCAGAGAGAGATGTAGACATAAAGGAGAGAGAGAGAGACAAAGGGACAGCACAGAGAGGCAAGCAGACAGAGGGAGAGAACCAAAGAAAGAGAAAAAAGGCAGAGCAGGAGAATGGGAGGGAGGTATACAAAGAGGAAGTGATGAAGGGAGGCAAACAGACATAAAGCAAGAGAGAGAGAGAGAGGTGGGTAAGGAAGGCAGTGACAAACACAGATTAAGAGAGAGGGGCAGGAAGGGAGACAAGATACATCAAAGAAAAAAAACAGCCACCTACTTCCCCCCCCCCCCCCCCCCACCCACACACACACACACAATTTCAAGTGTAGTGGACACAACCACTAGGAAAAGATAGTTATGGGGCAAAAAAAATACGTAGATGAACCAGTAAAAAAAAAAAGATGGGGGGGGGGGGGGGGGAAGAATGAGAGAGGGGAGCGGGTAAGGAAATCTAGAGAAAATGAAAAGACAGGATGGAGAGGAGACAAAGAAGAGATGGGACAGGAGAGAGGGCAAGGAAAGGAAGAGAGGAAGAATGGAGAGAGAAAGGAGAATAGAAGAAGATCAAAGGAAAGAGAAGGGGTGAGAGAAGAAAGGTACGACACGGTTGTGGGGGTGTGTGGGGGGGGGGGTGTAAGAACAATGAGTGTACCCTCTCTCAATGTGAATGTGGCCGTGGTCCAAAAACAACAGTGCTAACCCCTACTGCCCCTTGCTTGTCCTATCTGTGTGTGACAACAATAATTCAATTTCTTACACTTAAGGCTGGTGACCTGAGAGCCAAGGTCATTTTATGAAGAAAATAAAAGTCCAGGGGATCCCAACCCACCACTGGTGGAAAATAGAGAAGTTTACCCACACACATAAATAGGTCAGACACATAAATAGGTCAGGGCAGCAGTGGACTTCCTTTTATTTCTGGTTTTCCAATTACAGAAAGGAGGGGAGAGAGGAGGTGGTGGAAAGTGGTGTAGAAGGCTGAGGTGGTAAGGGTGAGACAGAGGAGGGGTGAGAGAATAAAGTTTAAGAAAATAAAGTGGGAATGAGACAGGGAGAGAAAGAAGGGAGTAAGAAATAAGATATAGAGGGAAGAAGGTAGCAGGAAGGGGTGCACTCCCTCCCCTAGGTGTCATCAATGTGGGAGGAGAAAAAAAAAAGGGGGGGGGGGGGGGGGTGACGGCAAATGTGTTTTTAAAAGTACACATATATTTAATGTGTGGGGGAGGGGGAATGGTGGACATGAAATGTTCTGCACTAGGCAACACATAACCTTCTACACCAACTGAAGGTATGGAGAAAGAAAGAGAGAGAGAGAGAGAGAGAGAGAGAGGGAGGGAGGGAGTGAGGGAGAGTGGCAAATACAAAGAGAAAGAAGAAAGCAGTGACACAGACAGGCAGAGAGTGAGGAACAGGTAGGACAAAATGTGAGGGGGCGGGAAGGGAGATGGACAGAGATTAAGGCCGCTAGGAAAACAAACACATCAAAAGAAAATATCCACCATGTTCACACAGAGTGCCCCCCCCCCCAATACAACTTCCTGTGTACTTGAGTTGCTAGGAAGAGTTATGGAGCCGCACATTTACTAAACATTTAAACAAGAAATAAAATAGGAAAAAGGGGGAGGGGGGACAGGAAATGGGAGAGTAAAAGGAAAGATAGAGAGAAAGAGAAGAAGATGAAGATCAGAAGGGAGGGTTAGAGACAATGCAGGAGACGGGAAGGAAGGAGCAATAGGTAGAAGAGTGAAAGAGGGAGGGAAGAGAGAGAGAGAGGGGTGAGACAACAGAAGAGGGAATCTCGGGGAATTACAATACTGATCGCCAAACACACTGTAAAGATAAATCCAGGCCAAAATAGAACTGGGAAATCCAGCTGCAGTCACTTTTCTTAGCCCCAATGCCATCTCTAATTAATAGAGAAGGCCGTGCTTAGCCCCACCACGGCGACTCTATTTATAAATACAACTGAACCAAGCCCCACCATCTCCCAATGTAATCCTAGCCTAGAAACCACGGCCATAAACGATTTAAACTGTTCATTCTGCCCGACTTGCTAGAAACAAAGGCACACACACACACACACACGCGAGACGGAAGCTGCTCCTTCCCGCCCCATGCCACACTGCTGCTGTCTGCATGTATTCATGATCTGTAACAAAGCCCGCCCTCCCCTGGCCTTTAACAAGCCATTTCGGCTGAAAATAGCCAATAATCAGCTGCCCTCACACCTGAAACGACCATACAATGAAAGTAGCCAAAAACTAGCCAAATGGCCAAAAAAGCCAAATGGCTCCCCCAAAATTGCCTGTGCTTGAAAAACACAGGATTTCTGACGATTTCATGGCCGCGGTCAAAATTCACGGCTTTTCAAGGTCGGAATGTCTTTTATAAGCTAAAAATCCCGGTTTAAGGTCAACGAAAAAAATCCCGGTAATTTCCCGATTTCCCGGTCCACTACGAACCCTGAATATAGTTTTAGATCTTTATGACCAATTAGGTGAAATATAATGGCACAACAGGACAATGAATGAAAAAGTCTCTTCTTCTTCTTGTTCACCGGCTGTGAATTCCGGCAGAAAGTCCTGGTTGTTTGCCCAATTGGACTTTTGGCTTTTACCTGGACCTGAGTTTTGCGTGTACATCCGTTTTACTGGCTTATTTGTGTGCAGTTCTCTTTCCCTGTCTCTCTGGCAGATGTACTCCGACTTCGAGGGTAGAGAATGAAAAAATATGACTTTAAGGATAGACAGTATTAAATTAGGAACTTCTTGAGACTGAAAGAGTTTAACTTATACATCCAAAGAACATCTAACTTATAAATCCAAATAACATTTAACTGATACATCCAAAGAAGGTTTAACTTATACATACAAAGAATGTTTAACTTCTGCATCCAAACAACATTTAACTTATACATTCGAAGGTTTAACTTATACATCCAAAGAAGGTTTAATTTATAAATTGAAAGAACATTTAACTTATACATCCAAAGAACGTTTAACTTATACATCCAAAGAGGGTTTAATTTATAAATTCAAAGAACATTTAACTTCTACATCCAAAGAAGGTTTAACTTATACACCCAAAGAACTGTGATCAGAGTTTACAGCCAATAAATGCTAAGAGGAAGAAGAGTGGCTGACACTTAAGGTCTTGGGGACAAATCTGAACTAAGGCAGATTTTTATAACTGACTTGAGGCTAGCAGACCCAGCCTAAAATGAGTACAAGGTAATTACCTGGGAAGTGAAGGTGGATACTGTGATACTGACCACATCCTACGCCAATCAACGGCAGCAAGGTCACTAACAACACAAGAAGAGAAAAGGTTTATGAATACCAGCATTAGAGAGAAAGTCAGAAAAAGATCTTGTATCTGGATTATACTGACAAAGAATGAAATGGTTCAGCCATCTAGTGAGAAATCAACAAGTTAAGGGCCTTGGCTCCACTAAAAGATCAAAGATAGAAGAATAAGAAAAGAAGAATTGTGAATAAGCAAGCTTTCTGTGTGAGTTCCAGGGCCCCCCCCCCCTTTTTTTTTGGGAGAAATAAGAGCAGGCTCAGTGCCACCCTTATTAACAAGCATGTCATAAAAGGTGACTAATTAGGGTGTTCCCTTCAAAGTCACAGTATATCTGCCTGAGAGGTGAGGAACCAACAGTCTGCACACAAATTAGCCAGATTTGTACAATGGATGCACATGCACAACTCAAGTTCTGAAATAAACACCAAGTCCAAGAGTGAATAAAAAAAAACCAAAACTTTCCATCAGCGTTTACAGATGATGATGATGACGAAGAAGAGAAGAGGAAGAAGAAGAAGAGAAGGAGGAGGAGAAAGAGGAGGCGGAGAGAAGGAGGAACAGAAGAACAACAACAAGAACAAGCAAATCTACTGTTACCTTGGCAAAGTGTTTGATGGCATATCCTAAGATCTGAACTCGAGGGTCTATCTGACTATAACAAAGCAAAAGTCTGGTATTATGCTGTGCCTGAAAAAATAAAACATGCAAATAATTACAATATAAACAAAACATAAACATAGATAAAATAAATGGCAAACCAAATTTACCCTTTTGGAAATCAAGTTCACCCCTTCGCAAATTTGGTACACCCATTGTAAATTTAATGTACCCCTTGAAAATCAGATTCTCCCCTTTTCAAGTTCACTCCTTGCACATTAGATTTCCCCTTTCGCAAAATCATGCATGATGATGTAAGAGGAAATTAACAATCTGATAAGCTTGCTGATTGGGCTATTGTGGAAAGCAGATGAGCAATTAACTAGGCCAATAAATAGAATACTGTCAGAAAGGCAGGGTGACTAAAAGAATCAAGTTATGACCGTAAAAACAAGTCAAAAGAGGTTAAGCCTGCAAAGAATGCTACACAGGGTGTCAATGAAAAATAGTCAACCAACAAAGAACTAATACAATTAGTGGCGACACAGTGGAGGATCTGAGAAAGCATCTAAGCTAAATGGTTTGATGTACACTTGATTGTAACAGACTCACAAAGAATACTGAGAAAAGTGGAAAAACGCATGCATTATTCTGAGTATCATGCACTGCTTCAAAGGTTCTGGTTAGTTAGTATCCTTTGGATCTTCTGGGGCCTAGAAGGTGTGCTGGAAAAGGAAAAGGTAGAAAGGCTGTCTTCTTCTGCACCATTAGGTGGTGAACTGATGTAGGACAAGCTACATGTGAACAATGCAGAAGCATAAACCTATCATTACGGTCTGGAGAGAATGGCGCAGCAGTGAGTGACCAGGGAACCGGCTGACACTACTCAGAGGAAAGACACAAAAAGTAAAAAGATACCTTTTTACGCCCTAGGTGCATCGAGCATATGGGAAGAGCACCCATATTTTTACAGACCAATCGGCACTAGGTGGGTAATGTGATCAGCACTTTGCCTACCGTCTTTACTTTCCCAGGACATACATCATGGTACCCATTTAAGGTTGGGTCGACCTGCAAACGCCCCATACCGTGATAAAAATCCACGCAGAAAAGACAAAAGGAACATATAATCAAACTGATACTGGTAACATCAGCACTGAACCTCTCCACTGGCTACTGAATTCGTCTTAGTCTTAATCGAGGTTTCAACATCACTGTAATCAGGCTTCCCCATTCTTGCTCCATTCCTGTGCTAGTTCAAATCAAAAGAAATATCCCTCATTGTCCCATTTAAAAAAAACTGGTAAACGAACAATTAGTCCTGGAACAATCGAGAAATGTGCGCAAGCAGTAAATGCACATGGCAGTTGCTAGAGGTGCCAAAGATAGCGGTCACCACCAGTCTGTCGTCGATGGAAGTAATCGGGCAAGATAACTTGGCTATACACACATAGAATTATTACTTAAGGTCATCAGCTCACAGGTAAACCGGCTATTAACCATAATGAAAACCATGGCATACCTGCCGCACAAATGAAAGGCATTCCCCATAAAAAACACAGCGCACAGGGCTGCACCAAACACTAAACTAAACTCAGTAGCTCAGACAGCGAAACCATACACTACCGTCCATTTGTGGAAACTTCATTAGCAAAGTGCTATCAGAATGACACCCAAAAAAAAAAAAGCTCAGCACTCTGCCATGCTTAATCCACCATTTTACCAGCTTTCTGATTACAGGAAATGTCCCGAGCGATGTGATGTTGGTTCCTTACTCAACACCACTGAGGGTTCCTTACTCAACTCAACTGAGGATGATCCACAGATTAACTTACCAGGATGTTGTAGAGGCTGATGTCACCTTCCAGACCCAAGTTTCTGACAACAAACTTGACAATAGGCACTTTGGCAGTTGAAATGGCTTGTACCCTAATGAGATCCTTGGACTGTTTCATTTTTCTGGCTAAGGATTCAATCACCCACGGCTTGTCAATTATCTGGTAAGATAACACAAAATAAACACCTATACAAACATCTTTAATTGATCAAGCGGTCTGTCCCCTCAAAGCTGATACCTAAAGATTTACCATACCATCCTGAGATAAAAAAAAATCTCAATCTGGACAGCAAACCAATAACTATGATCTCAGATATCCTCCAAAGAAATTATAATTAGGGCACTGGTAAAAGCAACACCTGCCTGGTTTAACCTGTAGTGCTGTGCAGGTAAGGATGAGAACATCTTCAATTCTCTCTGCTTTTTACCTCCCAAAACAGACCCTTACTAACTTATTCCAGGCCAATTCTAGATTTGTTAATGGCTGACTGAACTGTGAATCTAGAGCAGGGCTATTCAACTGGCAGCTCGCAGGCTAAATCTGGTCCACCGAGGCCTAGCAAGTGGCCTGCGGATCATTGCCAGTTGTATTGTATTAATGATCTTTCTATGCTAAGATTTAGCCCTCTGGCTTGTAATGATCCTCATTTTTCAAATGTTGGCCCCTCGGTAAACAGCTGAATAGCCCTGATCTAGAGTTTTCTATGGAATGATGTAGTCAGTCTCTTGCCAACACTCTTGTCCCTTCATATGGCATGCATGGGAAGGCTGCATGTTTACTATTCTTTGCTTCATTTATGGATCCTGGTAATCCACAGGTATCATATTTGGTACTATATTTAAAATTTCTCATAAGTAGGTGGGTAATGCAGCTATAATACACCTCTGCTAAAACAATAAAACAACTCCTTAACTATGTGAAGGCAATCAATTCTAGAATAACTAGGTATGTGAACAAACAAATTCAGATGTTTTAAACAACATGCTGACAGGTGATGCCATAAAACCATAAAAGCAGTCTTGTGTTGAGTTTCAAATAATGACATCATAGCACTTGGAACATTCCCATAAATGCTCTACCCTATCCTAAGCAGCCAGTGAAGACTTTAACTCCAATGGTACCCGTAGAAGTCTGAAACTATGTCCGTCTTTCCTTCCCTCTGAGTGTGAAGTGCTGGCAATATCCTGTGTTTATCTAAATATCTTTTACATGGTTCACCTGCTCCGAAAAGATGTTGACAACATCTAGCATGTCAATATTCAGTTTACCACAAAGTTGTGCAGAACCAGTCAGTCTGTCTGCATTTCGTTTCCCAACACACTTGCATCAAATGAAGAAAACATCCAAAAGATGTTAACTATCCTGGACCTTTGAAGTAATGGATGCCATTCTGCATAGAGCATACCTGTCTCCACCCTCCTCAGTATGCTTTGTGAGTCAGTTACAATCACAACATGTGTGTAGCTGATATTCAAATCAATGGAAGGCTGCAGTAACTACTTCCAACTCCATTCTCAGACTAGATGTTGTAATATCTTATGTCAGGCTTTGTTGCACTTATGGTCATTTATTCACTTTTGCTGTGAACCCCTATGCATTCTTCTGCCTCTCAACAGAGCCATCAGTGTAGATAATCACATCAATTGGGCAGGAACTATCTGTGACCCTCAGCTCTATCTAGAACTTCATGCAAGAGGTGTTTCTTGTCTGTCATTACTCTGAGATAGGCCCTACCTTGCAGCACTTTGAGCCTGTCTGCAACAGTTAGCAGTGCAAGTATACATCACATGCATACCAGAATCACCTGCATGGGTTCATGGCTTCAAGTTTTATCAGCTGACTATTTGATATGGTGAGCAACCCTGGATTATCATATTATGCTTATCATCAAGTTTTTAGCAGAGCATCCTTTATAATCAAATCTTACAGTTCTTCTCACCTCCTTCTTATCTTCCTCCAACTACCCCATCAAAGTGTTTGATATATGTTGCATAAACTGATCTTTATTTCTTTTAGGGCATTTTTCATGCCATCATTCTAACTGTTGTGTGATCTTGCCTTTGCTCTGTGTTAATTGTATTTCTTCAGCTTAGCTTTCTGTGGCAGCTGGTACTAAGGCATTCTCATCAGATGGCCAAACCATCATTCTCATCTGTTGCTATTTAATGAACTGGTTGCAGTGCTCTTCACAATGTAACAGCAAAATCTTGCACCAAAACTCATGTAATTGCCTAATCAGAAAACCTTAGATGGATTTTTTTTTTCAATCCAGAAACCGTGAGTTATAAACCATTTGGCTTAGTACTATGGATATCAGAATCCTTTGGCCTTGATTACATGATACCATAAATCTGGGAAATATGTGGCTTTTCTGCCTACCCCTAAGCATGAGCTTGGACGACACAAGAGTTTGTCACCAGGTCGCCATGCAACTGGTTTAACTTAGCTAGCGGGCCAGGCAATCACATGGATCAATGTGTAATCTCATGAATGATAAATAGTTACAAAACCTCCTAATATTGGCACCCTTTTTTATCTATCTTAACTAAAATATTACACATAATGATTAGTAAAATTTAAAGTATGGGTACAAAATCAAAGGGAAATGGGAATGGAACATCTGTTCACTTTTGGGGGGAATAAATAGTTTCAGAAGCGGTGTCTGTGGCTAAGGTGTTGCGAGTTTGACTCAATTTCAACATACCGCGATCAAAACCCACTGCTGGCTGTGTGGATTTTTTAGTGCTTAACAATGCTAAACCAAGTTTAACACGATTCACCATGAGAGATCACTTTCACAAGTAAGAGTTAGTCACAGTTGCTAATCGAGGTTCTAGATTCACTGCTGGTAAATTGCCCCATAATTGCTAGGTTGCTATGACAGTGGAAATCACACAAAATATAATTTACTGTTCTATCTGACAACCAGTGAAAAACATGTCCCAGCAAAATCTTGAAGCTTGCACATGCAAAGAAAATGCATAAGGTAGCTGTCAGATTGCCAACACTAACAGTCCCACACTGTTAAAAGTAATCTAAACATTTATGACTGGTTTAAAGCGAATTACCATTACAGTCATTTTCTGTAAGATGAAACTGATCCACATGTACATGATCAGAAGCTAATGATAAATAATCCTGTACTTGTTCTTTCCTTCTTTTTTTTTCTTTTTTTCTTTTTTGTTGTCAATGCAAATTCGTCTCAAAAACACACATGCAACCTAATTATTTTTTTAAAAACATCACACCACCATTTGACCAAAGAAAAAATGTTTATACTCACAAATTATTAATTTCTGCCCTAGTCAGAAATTTTTGTAAATAAATAAAAGTGCACTGGGAAAAAGCATTGAAACTAACCAGAATCTGATAATAAATGATATGGCATAAATAAAAGAGAGGGCTGCCGAAGTGTAGCAACTAGATGCTCGCCTGTGGATCGAAAGGTTGTGGGTTCAGGTCCTGGCAGAACCGGAATTTTTTTTGGCAAAAATGACCTTGGCTCACAGGCTAACTCAGCTCTGAGTGGGTACCAGGCAAAAGTTCTGGGAAGTAAAGGTGGTCGGTGTGATGCTCACTACATCACCCACCAAGTGTTGATTGGTCTATAAAATATAGGTCTAGCACTATATGACCATTACGTCTTGAAGCATGGAAAAAGTCTTTCATGTGAATTACAGTCTTCATTTGGGTCCAGACTGGACCACAGTTTACACTGACCTCGGGTGCCTTAATATAATTTCTATATGGCTGAATGGACTGGTCAGGATTATCTCCAATTCCAGTCGATTAACAAAAATTCCAAACTTGATCCTTTTTCAGTCGCCCCGGAGGCCTGCTATATGAAGGAAAGTTTCGTGGCTATCTTGTTTGGTTTCATATTCTTTGTGGTGCTAAGTCACACCTGATATTCATTTGGGATTACCTGACTCCTGCCAGGTCATTTATATTAATAAAAAAAAAAAAAAAAAACTACCTGATGCTGATTCATACTAAGAAATTTGAGTAAATAAAATATTACATATCAAAAAAGCTGATTCAAATATGGGGCTGGCAACATACACCCAATACTCATCCTGAGGTAGATAAGGATTTCTTGAATTTGACTTTATTTAATAAAGGATGGGTTGACTGCGAAGCACAGGTCAAGTAAGAAAATGAAAAATCCCTGCAGAACCTACAACCATCGGACTCACATGCTAGTATGCTAGTCACCCTGCCACAACAGTTCCAGTTTTGATTCTGTTATTCCATTACTGAGAGAGGAGATAAATAATTCAGTGGTCACAGCATTTGACTGCGGATTGAGAGGTCCAAGGTTTGTACCTGGGTGTCCCCAGTTAAGAGTAAGGAGTAGCTGGTAGAGTGGTTAAAGTGCTGGATTCTTGTGCCAGAGACATGTGTTTGATCCATAGTGAGAGATACAATGTTTTTTTTTTTTTTTGTCAGGGGCACACAGAAAGTCCTAACCTGTATATTTTATGGCATTTGCACTAGCTAACCGGCCTAGGACGGCCAGAGTAACTAATAATGATTGCTTGAAAGAGGCTAATGAAAGTAGATCTCTATATACAACAATAAGAAAGAGATAAACACTGTTCTTTGGCCACGTAATGAGAAGAGAGACATTGAAGAACATCGTGACAACTGGAAAGATCAGTGGAAAAAGGGGTAGAGGCAGACCAAGGAGAGATGATGCTGGATGAGCCGAAACGATGGCATGGATGAATATCATCTAAAGAGCTTTTGCAGGCAACCAAGGATCGTGATCTGTGGAGACGCATGAGTGCCTAGGCCAGTTAAGCAGGGCACATAATGATATGAACTGGCCTTAGATTCTCAGGCCCCCACCCCCATTCCAACACCACAATAAAAGTTGTAAATACAAGAGACAATTATGTCTGAGAGTTATCTGTCACTATCTTACCTTCCTTTGGCTGAAGGTCAAGCAGATGTCCATATCACTTCTCTCAAAGCCAAATCCATTGCAAGAGGAGCCAAACAATGTCAAGTTGGCATCTTCACACAAAAATAACAATAAACTCAATTTTTTTTTTAAACCCAAGGGATGAACAGAATTGATTAAAAGCATTATTTCAGTAGCATTAAAAATATCTTAAATGCATCTGGCATTAAAGTGTTAGTTTACATACTAATCTGCACCTAATGAATAATGTACTCAACCTTATGCCAGCCAGCTTCACTTTTAAGGACATTTCTTGGTGATCATTTTAGGCTAGGCTGATCTGGAAACCGTCTTAATGCATGGGCCAGCTGGGCGCTTGTGAAGAGGCAACTTGAGCATAGAAGCTCCATGCTAATCTATGTATGTGAAATGACTTGCCATAAAGTGAGGCTGCATGGTATCCGCCTCGAGTGCTAGAGATTCCAGGTTCAATTTCCCATTAAGGGCTGGATTTTTTCACATGGACTTGGCCTTTTAGTAATTCCCCCTGGTCTCTGGGTAGCGAGATTGGATGACCGTGAGCACTGATCCTCGCCGGTGCTACAGAGCCTGAGCTCTGTGCTGAGCTTCTTCGGATTCAGACTTCGAGTTGAAAGAAGAATGGAGAACTTATGGGTTACTACCTGTGTGCCATGATGTTGGTCGGTTGTTCAAACCTCAATCCTCAAACTTGCCATAAATACCAATTTCCTCCTTCTGAATGGTTGTCATAGGAGCTTTCAGCACACAGGTTTTCCCAGGGACACACAATGCTGTTTAGACTGCTCCGGCCCAGGTGTGGATTTGAATCCAGGATTAACAGGTTGGGCAAACATGGTAATCATAATCACTACAATACTGCAGTTCCCAATCTTGATAAGTAAAAATAATGGACCCTTTTTTTTATGCCTCTGGTGCAACAGGTATATTGTGCCAAAACTATATTTGTATAGACCAAACGGGACTAAATAAGGGTTCTAATCAGGTAACTGCAGTTTCAACTTTCATAGCAAATGGGTCACTCTAAAGCTGTTTCGCTCCTGGTGCCAATGAAAAGCACAGAGAATCTCCATCCATGCATCTTATGAAAAATTAACAGACTGTCGTTTCAGCAAAGCCAACAGCACATACATATATTAAATGCCTAAAGCAGCCATCAGAAGTGCCAATACAAACGGTCTGGCACTAGAAATGCAGTTCATCATCTATGGAAGCAGCAATTAGAACAGATCAGTAGTGGCATATGCAATTAATTGCGAAAGGCACCACCGGTTCTCCAGCAACAGGCTACTCGCCATTTTCTGACTGTAGTTTACAAGACATACCATAATGGGCACAGTCAAAAAGCATTCCAAACAAAGTCCACAGCTCACAGTGTTGCACCATGCACTAAACTCAATAACTGAGCGACAGAAAGATAACTGATGTGGTGAGCATCATGGTGGCCACCTTTATGTCCCAGGACATTTTTGTAATGACTGGATTGACCTGGGAGCAATAGTCGTTTCGGAAAAAATTTTCCCTTAATTAATGTGGATTAAAAATAGATAATCTCTGTCTGGCAAGCAACTAGTCGCTACACTACTGCAGCTCATATCTTGACGATTGCTTAAGCTAAAAATAAATGAATTCATGTCCAGCACTTACCATCAAAATGAGTTCTAATGAATGCTTCTAAATCTTTCAAAAAGCTGAAACGACTAGAAGATCCACATGAACTGAGCCCAACAAGTCCTTAAAAGTAAAAAAAAAAAAAATAACAAAATGTTAAAACCCTGATGATAAAAAGACAATTATGTAATATAAATCTATCCATCTATAACCTTCTTATATGGCTGTTGCACATAAAGCAATAACAAGTGATCTCCTCTGGTGCCGGTCTGTTGCTTATCTGCCCATAGTATCTCATGAATTTTACATTTCTTCTAACCCCCATGAAATTTACATTTCTTCTACCCCCGTGACATTCACATTTCTTTATCTCCCTTTTTACGGTCCTTCTCCAAGTTTACTAAAGGTCTTTTGGGAAGAGAGATTCACAGTCAGTCTGTTGGCTTCCTTTTAGCTTTCACCCAAGCTGTCATTTCACAAGTTGTCTGGCTAGTTTCACTTCTTTCCAACCTTTCTATAGCAAGATAAATCTCTCTCTCTCTCTCTCTGTGTGTGTGTGTGCGCGCGCGCGTGCACGTGCTGTCTGTCTGTCTCTCTCTCTCTCTCAGTAATGGGTTGTCCAACATCCAACCTGGATGCTAGTTTGGTCTGGCCCTTCTTCAGAAAACCCGTTTGACTCGGTTTATCCTGTTGGAGGCAGAAGTAGCCCCACTGACATAGCTCTGAGAATCATTATGGCTCACAAGCTACACTAAGACACCAGCACCATGGAATGGTAATATAAATACATATTTTATCTCCATTGATCCTACAAATTTCAAACGCAATCTTGAGAACCACGTGTGAATCTGGTATATATAATATTTGTATCTTCTCTGATACTAAAATTCCATACACTGTTTTGATATGATTCTGGTACCTTACTAGTACTGCAAATTTATGATTCAGTTTATACAGCTTTATCCTCCCTTGCGCTACAAATTTTATATACTGTGCTGAAAACATATGTGATTCTGGTATATACATATAGAGTATTTATCCTCACTGGTACTACTTCATATACTGTGTTGATTACACATGTGATTTATTATATATATACACACACACACACATTTTTATCCTCACTGGTACTAGAAATTTCATATACAATGTTGAGAATATGTGTGATTCTGATATTTACATACACATTTTCTTATCCTCACTGTTACTACAAATTTCACACACAATGTTAAGAATATGTGTGATTCAATATATACATACACATTTTCTTATCCTCACTGTTACTACAAATTTCATATACAATGTTGAGAATATGTGTGATTCTGATATTTACATACACATTTTCTTATCCCCACTGTTACTACAAATTTCACACACAATGTTAAGAATATGTGTGATTCAATATATACATATACATTTTCTTATCCTCACTGTTACTACAAATTTCACACACAATGTTAAGAATATGTGTGATTCAATATATACATATACATTTTCTTATCCTCACTGTTACTACAAATTTCACACACAATGTTAAGAATATGTGTGATTCAATATATACATATACATTTTTTTATCCTCACTGTTTCTACACATTTCACACACAATGTTAAGAATATGTGTGATTCAATATATACATATACATTTTCTTATCCTCACTGTTACTACAAATTTCACACACAATGTTAAGAATATGTGTGATTCAATATATACATATACATTTTTTTATCCTCACTGTTTCTACACATTTCACACACAATGTTAAGAATATGTGTGATTCAATATATACATATACATTTTTTTATCCTCACTGTTTCTACACATTTCACACACAATGTTAAGAATATGTGTGATTCAATATATACATATACATTTTCTTATCCTCACTGTTACTACAAATTTCACACACAATGTTAAGAATATGTGTGATTCAATATATACATATACATTTTTTTATCCTCACTGTTTCTACACATTTCACATAGTGTTGAGAATATGTGTGATTCAATATATACATATACATTTTCTTATCCTCACTGTTACTACAAAATTCACACACAATGTTAAGAATATGTGTGATTCAATATATACATATACATTTTTTTATCCTCACTGTTTCTACACATTTCACACACAATGTTAAGAATATGTGTGATTCAATATATACATATACATTTTCTTATCCTCACTGTTACTACAAATTTCACACACAATGTTAAGAATATGTGTGATTCAATATATACATACACATTTTCTTATCCTCACTGTTACTACAAATTTCACACACAATGTTAAGAATATGTGTGATTCAATATATACATATACATTTTCTTATCCTCACTGTTACTACAAATTTCACACACAATGTTAAGAATATGTGTGATTCAATATATACATATACATTTTCTTATCCTCACTGTTTCTACACATTTCACATAGTGTTGAGAATATGTGTGATTTGAAATATACATACATATTTTCGATACTCACAAGCACTACACCGTTCATACACTGTATGAGATTATGTCTGATTCTGATATACATGCACATAGACATTCTAAATCTTGTTACTATTACATAATTCATGCACACCATTAACAGCATTCTTGTGGGATCAACTCAAAACTGAAGCAGTTATAAATGCATCCATTTACATAAAAGAATCTTTGCAAACCAAAGAAAGAGCAGACTAATAAACTACTCTGGATTGATAAAGATTCAAAGCTCCTTGGGGGATGTGCTGAAAGGAAAAGTAGAAGACAATGTACAAGCGGAAGGTCTGCATATTGATAAACAACATCAAAGAACTAACAACACTGCAATAAACCACAAACATGTTGGCACTGCATCAAACACACACTGGGAAAATCTGATATTATAACCAGAATGTTCTCGAAGAGGATCCAATCGGAAGAACCCAATTTATAAGAAATAAAGGAAGTTAGATCAAGCCCTGATGCCACGAGGCATTTCCAAGAGTAGAAAAAAAAAAGAAGAAGAAAAAGATCAAAACAAAAATAAAAACAAACAAACAAACAAACAATTTGAAGAGAATTACAGAGTAGTGCAAATAAGACAGGAAGGATAATGAGTCAGCTGGCAAAGAACAGGCAGGATTTGCTTCAGAACCTACACTACATTTCAGGATAACAGCTAAAAAAAAAAATAAATGCAGCATTGAGAGATGGGCTAGAAGAGAACTTTCTAAGTGCACTTTGAAGACGATACGACATAAAGCAGTGATGACTCATTTCTGATAGCAATCAATACAGAGTTGGCAAAGAATAATGATGATGGTAATGAATTTAAGAAGTAGCATTAACTTACACACGAAACAAATGCTCTCACCTGGCAGTCGGCTAAGAGTTTCAGACAAAACCTTCACATGTAGGGCTGTAAGTGGTGGCAGCGGAAAGATCTCTGGCAATTTGTCTTCAGGGCATGCATTTTTCAGATGACCGGTCTTCTCACAGTAAGCACAAAGCAAGACTGGGCCCTATTTAGATTCAATCAAATCAAATCAGTGCCAGTGCATTACTGGGGTGCATAAGGAAAGCAAGGCATATAAACATGCAATTTACCATGCACGTCATATGAGGTAATTGAGGATTTCTACAGAGACTGACTGACAAAACCAATCGTGAACAAGTCTCATCATTGTCCTGTTCTGTCGTCATATGTCACATAGGGCTCACAGTCTATCCCGCCAATTTATTCTATCCTGTGTAATCTCTTCGATATCATGGATGCAATCCAGTCCAACACCTTTGGAATATCGGTGCTTTATTAATATCCTACCCCAAACAAAGGAAATCCACAGGTCACGGGACAGTCTAATATTTCAGGGGGTGGTAGATAGGCTGCATGCAGTCGTAGGACCTAGGCAGCATGCAATCGTGGGACCTAAGCTGCACTCTCTCACGGGATGTAGGTGGGTTGGGGTTAGGGCCAGTACTAGATGTTTTTGGGTCATTAAAAGCATCAGAAAGCTGGAAAACCTAGTCTTAACACCCTCTAAAATGTTGGACTGTCCTGTGACGTCATCTGGGGTAGGATATTAATAAAGAAGGGGAATATCTCATCAATGCTTGTTTTAAGGTTTCTTTAGAATGTCCTCACTTCCTCAATCCCTTTGTTTCCCATTTTAGTACCGGTCTGGTGATTCTTTGCTCGTTTCTTCTCAGGATGTGTCAAATACAGTGCCACCTTCTTTGTCTCAATCCTGCTGTTACCAGTAGTTGCCCAGATATTTCTCTTATTTCTTCACTTCTTCTGAATTCATCCTATTTTATGTTTAACATTTTCCTAGGACATTTGTTTTCAAAAGCATTTAACTTTTGTCCATGTCTTTAATGGTTCTTGAACTTTTGCTCGCATAAGTAAAAGCTGAAATATCATTAGAATTGAAAATATGTAACATTGTTTTTAAACTATACAATTAAGAGTTCCATATTATGAACAAGTCTACAAAGGGCCTAATATGTGTTGCCTGAGGTCCCCTGCTCCACTGCGGGATGAAAGTCAGAAGAAACAGACAAGTCAGAATTATAATGTACCCAGTCAGTTACTGCTGTCTATCATTGCTGAAAAAGAACCCTATTGCCATCTGATTCTCCTTCTTCTGTGCTCATCTTTAATAGTTTATGTTTATTCAACGGATCAACATCATGGCACATGGGTTTAACCCATATGTGCTCGGTTCTACTTCAAACTCAAGCCTGAGTCTGAAGAATCTCAGCGCAGTGCACAAACTCGGTTGCACCGGTGAGTATCGTGATCCTGATCTTTAAGAATGTGGCTGACATGTTGTGCTGTGGATTATAGCCATGCTGCATTTATTGTGCCTTTCAGTCTACAGCCTAACACATCCTATTTGGGCAAAACCTTAATTATTATGACAAGCTTGGTTTTTAACCCCCCCTCATTTGATATAAAATGATAAATCATGTTTTTTTTGGCTGATATGACAAGTGCATAAATTTCTTGACTTTTTTTTTCCTTACTCCAGTTGCCAGTACATGGGAGCTGCAGTGACAAAGTGGTTAACACTCCTGCCTGCCAACGTGGAAGAGATGTGTTAGCCTCCCTAATATCGATGATGAGGTTTGCAAAAATTTCCTTTAGGCCCACATCTAAAATATGTACTAGAAAATGTTCTGGGAAGTAATACCTGCCGGCGTGACAACAATCATACTGCCCACCAAGTGCAGATCTGTATCTAACAGTTAGTTTAAAGTACTTGTTCATCTCAGTAAATATTCAACATCACAGTATTCAGAACAAGCCCACATTAGCTCCTTCTCTCTCCTCAACAATCATCGAAGCAGCAAACAGCCTCTATACTGATGGTCTCCGTTATTATCTGGTTAACTACTCATCTTGCCTTTCCCCTAAGCCTCGACCACGGCCCACAGACACTCCCAGCAGCAACATTCTCTCCAGGTGAGGGTTTTTAGTATCTTCCATCTTACTTTATTATCTCATCCCATGGGCGAGAGATCACCTCTGCCTTGTGCGGTTGCAGTACGCCTCCCAGTGGGACCAGACCAGCCAACCTATCTGCCTGTTCATTGTCAAACATGCCGACATAGCCTGGGCAAAAATATCCATGCTGCTGTTAAACTCGAGAGAATCAACTTTATTGCAACATGTTTTATCCCTCAGCAGAATGGCTAGCTGCTTGCCAAGCGCATTGCACAAAGCACGAATTCCATAGCTCCAGTGAAAATCCTCAATATGCACTCAATAACTGAAAGACATGGCCCTGAAATGAACTTATGATCTTCAAAGTGCGAGGCAAATGGCTTGACTATTTTGCCATGAAGAACTCTGGTCAAGTATAAAAATATCCTGCCAACACAATACACCCACTTTACCTCAAGATATGGAAATGAGTCCTTAACCCTACTAACTTTTTATTACCAACAAGAAAGTGGGTTAGAAAGCAACATTATCTTACCTTCCCATCAGTCAGAACTTCTTTAGAAAAAACATAGTAGCAATCTCTCTTTTCCAGTAAGAGAAAAATATCATTCATGGCTTCAGTTAATTTCAAGTGATCAGTGGCATCACCAGTGGCTGCTTCAGCAGGTGAACCCAAGCTGGACAGTGACAGTTGTTTACTAGCATGAGACAAGCTGTCAGTCTGTGATGTAATGACAGTATGTTTACTGTCATTAGGGGATGAGCCGACAGATCCTTCTTGCATAACTTGATGAGGAAAATAGCCATTGTCTGGGGTTTGAGATAAACCATCGCTAATACCAGAATCTGAAATGTCCTTTCTTAAGCTCTGGTTTTCCAAGAGCACAGCAGGCTTAGAATGATTTCCTAGCTTTTTTAAGGCAGCTGACTTTGTCTGCGACTTAGAACCAGCGGAAATTTCTGATGACTGTTTATGCAGATTTTCAGTGCCTGCAGAATGCTGATCTTCAGTTACACCATCATCATCACTATCTTCAGTATCAGAGTCGCTGAAATCATCATTTCCTGAATCTGAACTACTCTGATCATCCTTTGGTAGAGTTTGCTGTTGAGAATTTTTTTGGTATTGTGTTTTGTGTGTCCTATCCGTCTTATTTGTTTGAACAGATCCATCACCAACAGCAGACTGTTGAACTGCTTTATCTTCCTCTGTAGCTGCTTCTGTGGTTTCATTGTTCTGAATCATTTTTATGAAGGCATCTATAGGAATGTGTGATCTGCCTTCTGCATCTCGAGGAAAGCCAAAGTAGTGAAGTGCCCGACGAATGCAATCTTCCCAGTACTCGCATACATGAGCTTGGTTGACCATGCCAGTAACATTCTTCTTCAGCATGTAAGGATCTGCCATAAGAAAGAAGATGAAATGTTTCAATCACGAATGAATATTAAAATTACTGACTATGTTTTTTTTTTTAGGTAGGCTTAAGCTAATTATTTGGGGAGAAGGGGCTTAAGTGACCTCAGTGCCTAGGTTCAAGCATCTATGCGAAGTGTAGTTGTTCACATACGGGTAGCCATATATGCGGTATCTGTTTAAATGACTGATTATTATAGAAATAAATATTAGAGATACAGACACCAAAAGAGCCCTGTTTAATCGTGGTTTTTTTTTTAAAAACCAACATTATGCTATCTGTGTCAAATATGGACATCAAATACTGTCAGTAAAATGGTGGCGGCAGAACCAGTGCTGAACTACTACATCAAGAGACAGCAATTTAAATGTTCCGGTCATGTATCAAGACTACCACAGGACAGTATATCCCACAGACAAAACGGAAGCAGAACTAGAGGTCGCCTGCACAAGCAATGCACTGATGTATATCTGAGGCCATGAATACCGGACTCCATACAATAAGAAGAAACTCCACAGGGGAGCATGTACAGCAGGGATCTACCAATCGTCAGTAGAAGTAATCTCTCGTCGACAAACGTTTCGGCCCACGAGCTCCTAGACGTTTTCAGAGAGTGGACCCACCTGAGTTCATAAAGCTCAGGGTTGGTTTCCCTGCTGCACGAAATTACCGGATGGTGTTCGGATAGGGACAAGACGAATTGGTGATTTTGCAGAAGGTATACATATACCATACAATATACACCAAGGCTCTCACTAGATGTCTCTTCTGAAATCTGTTGCTGAAAGGTAACACAGGAACTACATAAAAGAAGAAGAAGAATATGAGAAATTATGACAGAAGACTCTCATGCCATGTTATTCAGTTCAAAGTCTTTAAAAAAGTTTCTGCAACATGGCGCTCTTTAGATTTCTGAAGTCCATGTTGTGTGGAGTGGGTCGTCATGTTTGTCAACAGCCTACTGTAATTTCAACAAGTTTTTATGAAGTTTTACTGCTAGTGTTTTTTGTATACTCATGAAGCACCTATAACTAAATTTAAATAAGTAATTTCCCCTGGTCTCTGGGTAGTAAGATCGGACACCTGTGTGTATTCTTGCACACATAAAAATCCCTTGGCAGTTGGAGATCAAAAAGAGTAGCCTAATGACGCTGCCCGGGGCAAAATTTTAAGTTAAAAATCTACCCAAAGTATTTCAGGATCCTTGCCGGTGCAACGGAATTCGTGCACGGCGCTGAGATTCTTTAGACTCAGGCTTGAGTTAGAAGTAGAACGGAGCACTTTTTGATTTACACTTGTGTGTTATAATGTTGATCTGTCAAATAAACATAAACTTAAAGACGCCTACCCTCAACAGCAAGTTTTTTGCTGTTCCACGGTTTGGTATTTCGTGGTATTTGCTGGTCAGTCCGGATGGACACCACAGTATTGGCAATGTCAAGCTCCAAACAGTAAAATCGTAGTAGCCTGAACCACAGCTCACCAACACTCATGTTGTTGCGAGTCTGTGCAGCAAATTTCATCACCTGTTCATATATAAAACATTCAGCAGATCATTGTCAGTACTACACTGTCCTTACTAATCAACAACGCTAAATAGTTAAAGCTGTGTATACATGAAACTGAATTGCAATCTTCTACTTCTGTCCCTTATCTCCCAATGGAGTAAAGGCTCATAACCACCATGTACCAAGTTGTCTTATCCTTGGGGATCGTGTGCAGCTCACCTCATATCCTTCCTATATATTTCATCTCAAACTATACTGTCCCCCCAAAAACAAATGGTGTAGAAAGAAAGGCAGTCATCCCACGGCACTTCACTACTACTATTAAAAAAACACATAGCCGTTGGAAGGAACCTAACCTAATTTTGTCATCATTTTGCCATTCAAAATCTTTGTAATTTGATAAGTGAAACTGTTCAAATTGCACACAAGAATACTGTAGGGTCAATCAATCAATTGACAGTTCTTTTGCATTTGAGCATCAATAGTTTTTTTTTGTTGGTGTATATGCTTTCCCGTCAACTAATAAAAAATATGCCATCGGATAACTTTGCATTTCCTATTCATTCATTTTTTAAAACAGGAAAGCATTATCAGATGACTACTGACTATGCATTTCTCTATCTCTCTCTCTCAATTTCTCTTTTGTGTGAATAGTATATATAACTATCTTCTCCGAGTATTTTTTCGTAAACCTGTATTATTTTGACAATGTGGGTTCCACTGTGAGAACATTCTAGTTATAATATTATCTGGTTTTCTCACAATGTGTTCTATTCAATGCCAACATCTCTTTCTAATCCCTTGATTCAGTGGAATAAGACAATAGAGATCTTTCCCAAAGCTTCACATGAGTAATTTCTATTCTGCTATGTATTTTTTTTTTCAAATATTTTGTACAGGTATTGTGAGCTGTGGTAAAGTTGTTGAAATAAGCAACAAACATCATTGCTAAAAGAACTGGGAGTTGCCGTGGTGTAGTGGCTAGACAATCATCTGCAGATTGGAAGGTCATGGGTTAGGATCCTGGCAGAGCCGGACTTTTTTTTTTTTAATGACCTTGGCTCCCAGGTCGACCCAGCCTTGAGTGGGTACTAGGTGTAGCTATAGGAAGTAAAGGCGGCCTTCGTGATGTTGACCACATCACTTACCAAGTGCTGATTTGCCTACAAAATATAGGTCTAGTCCTATATGCTCAATACACCTGAAGGCGTAGAAAAGGATCTTTCCCTTTACTTACTAGAAGAAATAACTAGCTTGTCCATATGGGATCCAAGGCCCCATGATTGAGGTGGGAGGATTGGGGGGGGGGGGGGGGAATACCTCTTAACCTTTTAGCCATTTAAATTGTTTAAAAATGGCCCTTTTTTAAAAAAAAAAATTTTTTTTTTAAATGCATTGTTATAATTCTCTGAAACTCATAACAATGTAACTAGCTTCTCCTATCTCAAACAAACTGATGGAGTTGGTGACAGATGTCTTCTCCTTCTTCTTTGTTCACTGGCTGTAAGCTCCAGCAGAAAGTCCTGGTTGTTCGTCCATTTAGACTTTGTGTCAGGGCCTGAGTTTTGGGTGCCCCATCTATTTTACTGGCGTATTTGTGTGCAGCTCATTGTTGCTTGACGCTCTGGCAGATGCACTCCGACTTTATCAGTCCCCAATTAGTCGACTCCTACGACTTGCTTGCTGAGGAGGCAGTGGGTCTATTCATGTTTTCCTCACACTGGCGCCCTCGACTCACACAGCGTGTGTCAGATGTGAAAGGTGGGGGGGGGGGTGTAGATACAGGAAGACCTAAAAGTATTTTCAACAATATAAGCAAAATTTCAATATCCTGAAGGTAAACAAAACAACAACAAAAACCATTAAAGATAAGAACTGCCAAATATTATGTATACTGAAACCTATTGTATGGAATAACAACTTGGCAATAAATAGGCAATCAGAAAGTTAAACTTCGGCTCAGGAGATAACTGTCAAAGATGAGTAGGTCAGGTGGAAAAAATGCAACAGCATCCCAACTCCCCCCCCCCCCCCCCCCCCCCCCCCCAAAAAAAAATTAAGAATGTTGTCGTTGGGGCTCTAGAACCTACATAGGGATGCTAGTAACAAAATGATTCCCCTTGTACAGTGGTACCTTACATACAAACATAATTAGCTCCTAACTGTGGTTTATATCTCAAAACCCAATTTCCTATCACACCTTAGGAGAAATCAATCTGTTCTCAGCAGCATTTTTGGGCAATGAATATGCATTTTATTATCTGACAATGTCTTTACGCTGACAGTACAAATCTGTCTATATCCCATAACTATGTGTCACTGAGTTACTGCTGGCTGTTTGTTCAGTCTTTCCATTTCTGGTGATCAAATCTGTAAGGTTCGACTTACGAGCTCCTCTACATATGAACTTTTTAAGATACACACTTTTTTCATATCATATTTAATAGGATATCCCTCTACATATGTGGCTACATTTAAGATATGAACTGTGATGCACACTACACATGTATGCGTATTTGTTGTTAATACCGCGCATTTATCTGGAATATGCTTTAATGAATAGTGTGTGCAATGCATTCTGCACATACGTTTTCTGGTGTTTTTTTTTTTTAATCTGTTGCAGCACTCGAGGTGAATTAGACAAATTAATGAACAAGTGGCATCTCTATCAAGGCATTGTTTTTGAAACCACCTGCATCTTCAGTGACAGTATCATTAATCCTTTTAGAAGCATCTTAAAGAAGCGATAAATGTAGACCATGTGGTATACGTTTTTGAAACTACTCACCAAAGAAACAGAAGGGTTATTAACTTATGGCAGTTTTTTATTTTTTTAAATAAAGTAATGAAAGGTTATCTTTATACTACATACATATGTATCATGTAAAACCAAAGATTTAATAAATACAAATTTGTAATTATTAACTGCACTACTTTCAAGTGCTAGAAACACCTGCTAAAGTTGTCTATAAATGTCATGACCACACTAAATAACCCCATAGAAAAGCTTCAGAAGACACATATTTTCATAACAATGGCATGGTTAGGTGCTAACAACTGAACAGCTACTAGCTAAGACACACACAAAACAGAGTGACTTACCTTGGATCTCATTTTTTCAAAAGCTGGAGAGTCCTTTTTATAATCCTCAGTTTCTTCTCCGGTGACCTACACATAAATATTTTTTTTAAAGTACAAACAGACCATGAACAATGAATATTGAAATAAGAATCTACATCACAGCCCTCGGAACACTCCCATAAATGATCCATCCCCATCTTCAGCAGCAAACAAAGAGTTCCAATTCCAACAGCACCAGTAACTGTCTGACTGTCTTTCCCTTGAGTGTTGAGCATCAGCCAGGTTTCCCCAGCAACTCCTTGCAGCGCCATTCTCCTCAAATCCTAATAATCTATTTGCACTTCCTCACTGTTCACTTGCTCCCAGAGGGCCCTCACAAAATCTAGCTTGTCATACACCAGTTCACCACCAAGTGATGAAGAACCGGCCAGTCATGAACAATGAAAATCTAGGTTTAATAAAAAAAGAACCTCACATTGAATCTTTCTATCCTCTTTTACCCCACCAGGACATCACACAAGAGATAAACACCCGGTGACACAAAGTGCTACCATACGGATGAGGATCACCCCTGGAGAGGTCCTGGAAACCGCTTTCAGCCGTTAGGCCATATTTATGGTGGTCTATATTGCGGCCCCTGGCAAGAGCCAGGGTGGGGCTTCAAAATAACCCAAAACCCACAGGGGGATGACTAGAATAAGCTAAGCAACAAAACATTGTCCTCTATCTATCTATCATGTTTTTACCCCACCAGGACATCACACAAGCGATAAACACCCGATGACACAAAGTGCCACCATGTGGATGAGGATCACCTGTGGAGAGGTCCCAGAAACCGCGTTCGGCCATTAGACCATATTTATGACCGGGCTATATTGGGGCCCCTGGCAATAGCCAGAGTAGGGATTCTAATAACCAAAAATTGCATCCCACAAGGGGATGACAGAACTTACCTCACATTAAAATATTTTTAAAGAACCGGAACCTCCGGTAACTTGGAAACTACTAAATGCCTAAAAGTATTTATATTTATTTGACAGGAATATCAATTTTAAAAAAATGGTTTTAAGACATGTCAAATTATATTTAGATGCATGTACACAATGTAGTTTATGAACAAACACAGCACAGAACTTCAATGACTACACAAGACAGAGCTATAGATGCTCCAGTGCAGTGATCTATTTTATGCTGATTTGAAACATATTTTTCATGAATATACAGAAAACAATGTGTTAACTTTTAATATGTCATATACAACTTAAAATGTCTCCAAAATGACCAGGGTGTTAAATCACTCTACTTCAACAAACTCAATTTAGAGTGGCCCCAGAGTTGAGACCAAACGTTCAAAAGAAATTAAATTTATAGGGCTGCCACATTTCTTATTATAACATATAAGCAAATTTTACTATGGGTCTAAGCATGCAACAGAAACAACAGTTCTTCTCCTTGTGATCTCTCTCTGATTTACAAGGACAGATTAGTTCTTGCAATTAATTAGACATTTTTTTTTTAGTTCCCCTTCGGTTCCATACAACTCTGAGTATGGTACCAACTCTTTTGGCCAGTAACTCCTTCTTAATGAGCTGTACAAGATGCATGCTTGCAGGACATGTTCTGTGGTTTTCACACAGAACCCATATAGGCACTGTGGTGTACTGCATAGATGAAACCTGTGTATATGCTTGTTAAGTCTGTTATGCTGGGCTGAACATGTCCCTGCTGGTCAAGTAAGTGGTCATAATCGCTTGCCAGATTCTGTACACAACTGATAGACTTTATGGTCCTTTTTTTTTTTCACTCAAAGTTACTGCACTGTTTTCCTGTTCCCATTCTCTCACCTAGGACTTCTAGCAATTCCCCCTAGTCTGTGGGTAGTGAGATCAGACGCCCGTGTGCATTGTTGCGGAAGTAAAAAAAAATATTTTGGCAGTTAGAAATTGAAAAGAGTAGCCTAATGGCGCTGCCCAGGCAAAATTTGGAGTTAAAAGTCTACCCAAAGTATTTCAGGATCCTCGCTGGTGCTACAGAGCCTGAGCACTGAGTTCTGTGCTGAGCTTCTTCCGGCTCAGAAGAGAAGAATGGAGCACTTATGGGTTACTACCCACGTGCCATGATGTTGCTCCATTGTTCAAACCTCAAACAGTGCTGGAGTTCCACTGTTTCTAAACCTCATGTTAGAAGAACAGATTAGGACTCTGGTGAACGGTTACTGAGAAGCTATTCTTACCTCAGGTGGCTTGATGATAGGAACCAGCTGAGGACTCATCTGCTGAAGGAAGTAGATCACCATGAGGTTGAAAGCTTGAGGAGGCATGAATCCATCAAGATGTCGATCCAACCCACACAGCTAAGTAGCCGAAAATTTCATGAAAACAAACATTTTTTTTTTATTATTTGGAAATGAAGTACTGGCGCTGTATAAATAAGAACACAAGCTGTACAATCTATAAAGCTGACATACATCATTTATGCTCTTCTTATTTTTTGACAAGGCAGATGTCATCACAGCCCTTTGGGAACAAGTAATGAAGTCAGAAGAGAGTAATAAGTCATGACCTTGAAACCCAGGCCATACAAACTTAAGTGGATCAGTTAGTTACGATGGTTTGGACACGTATGCAGAATGAGAGACAACTGACCACAATGGCAGGCCAGGAACAAGGAAACCAGACCACCAGGATGACCTAGAGTTCACTAGGAAAACATCTGTCCCTGACTGAGAAAGGACTGGAATAGAGCAAAGCCAAAAAGAAAACTGCTGACAGAGAAGTCTGGTTATCTCTCTGGCAAACATCTACACCCTAAGGTAGAAGAGGATCGACTAAGTAATATATTTAGAAATGTAAACGTAGCATTACAGGTTAGTTGCTTATCCTTTACAGGACGTGGCAGAACCAACCCCAACAGCACCTGGCTGTTGTGTGGTTTCTCTAGGCAAATTTATGTCCAGTAGTTTGCCATTACTTTCTGGACAGTCGCCCCCCCCCCGATACCACTGTCGAAACCAACGCAAGGCGCATGACCCGCAGCTGGGATCGAACCCGGCACCCCGGCATTACGAAGCGTTTGCATCGACTTAGCCATAGAGCCGACGGTGACTGGAATAGAGCAAAGCCAAAAAGAAAACTGCTGACAGAGAAGTCTGGTTATCTTTCTGGCAAACATCTTCCCCTAAGGTAGAAGAGGATCAACTAAGTAATATATTTAGAAATGTAGACATGGCATTATATGAATTAAAACACAAACAGTACAATCAAAACAGCGTATTGTACTAATTAAAAAGAAAAAAAAATTAACATGCCCTCTCCAAAATGAAGGCTGCCTTTGGAAATACTACGTCAGGAAGCTCCATTCTCTTCCAGTGTGACTTGCAACTAATTCCCAAGAACCACAAAAACATTCTTTTTTAACACACCACGGAAATCTGAGCCACACAGAACACTGATTACATGATTAAATACAATCAATATCAAAGCGTTTGGGATAGATCCATTTATTCTCCATCTTCATAAACAGACGAAAGACTAAATGTTCCTATTAGTGTGCGGATTACAACAGTGTCAGTAGGGAACTGTGGCTTAGAGGTCTAATGATTTCATGATGCTTGAGAACTATGGATCATTTCCACAGAAAATAGAGAGGGGAAAAAAAGGGGGGGAAAATAAGAAGAAAAAGAGGCAAGCTCTGACTCTGACATGGTTCAAACGGTAGTGGACATTTTGAAGAGTTCACATATTCTCACACGCACCCAGTAGTGCAGGGCAATTCAACCAAGTTCACTCAAGGGTCAGTTTTGAAAATGTTGATCCTAAAGGCCAGGTCGACTCAGCCCCAGTACAGAAAGATCCTTATTACAATACAACTGAATAAGATCCCCGGGGCCACTTGCTGAGCCTCTGCAAGCCAGATTTGGCCCGCGGGTCGCCAATTGAACAGCGCTGCATTAGTGGAAATCCACTGCTCACCTGCAGTATCAACTAACATGAATTGTTGCCTCACTATAAGTCACACTTTTTATTACTTTATATACTAATGGGTTGACATCTGTCCATGCCAAGATGCAAAATTACCCAGACTTATCTTACATACAATCTTTTGTCCTCAAAAGAGGAAAATTAGGAAAGAGAGGCAAGCTCCTAATACTGAAATGGGTTAAATCGGGTGGAAAGTTTGTACAGTTCATATGTTCTTACATGAGCCCAGTAGCGGAAAGCCACTGCTAACTTGCTAACTCTGGTGTCAAAATCGGAATACATCGACAGCAACTGTGATGTGCAGTGAGCTTTATAGCAGTGGATGGCAATTCTGAGTGTCAGCCCTGTCATGTTGTCAGTCAAGTAGAGACCAGGGACTTTTGCTGTGAAGTCAGGTCTCACATTGCTGAAGCCAGAATCTGAAGACAGAAACAGTTGATCATTTGTAATGCAGTAGTATTAGTATAAGCAGCACTAGTAGTAACAGCAGTAGTAGTAATAGCAGTAGTATTATTAGTATTAGTAACAGCAGTAGTATTAGCAGTAGTAGTATTAGTAGTAGTATTAGCAGCAGTAGTAGGATTAGCAGTAGTAGTATTAGTAATATTAGTAGTAGTATTAGCAGCAGTAGTAGGATTAGCAGTAGTAGTATTAGAAACAGTAGTAGTATTAGTAATAGTAGTATTGGCAGTAGTAGTAGCAGTAGTAGTAACAGTAATAGTATTAGTTATTTGTTGTTGCACCTTTCCGTCTTTCCAGGTGATAGTGTAATGTTGTGCTATAAGGAGATGTGAGACTCACAGCCTATGGTGATGGCGAGTGTGACTAGCAAGACCCACCTGCGTTAAGAAAAGTCTTCCACCATTCAAGCAAGGGATGTGAGGACTATTGATGCCATCATACTGATTTAGTGTGCTTTTTCTTAGACACTCAGCTCTCATCCTTTCTGTAATATTCTGTGTTTTGGTTTTCATACCCTCCCTGATTTGCCCCCCATCCATGCAATTTTTCAGTAGTATACGTGGGATACATAGTTTTTAATGTAGTCATTTTATAAGCAAATAGTAGAAAAGCATTGGAGCCGTTTCATTCTTAGGCTGATCAACTAATGTTTTTTTTCCTATTAGCACTCAGTGGGTGATGTGTCCAAAATCAAACCAGCTGTCTTTGCTTCATGAGATTTTCATAGTACTCATTTAAGCCAAGTCTACATAAAGGCCTGATCCTGAACCCGAGTTCTGCATGCAGATCCGTTTCACACATCAGGCTTATCTGTATGTAGATTGTTGGTTCATTGCCTTTCAGGCAGATGCACTCCAAGTTCAAGGAAAACTAGTCACTTAGTATGACATGCTTACTGGGGGGCAAAATGGGGCCCCGGAGCCCACAAAGAAAGATATAATTATTATAAAACAACAGTATCATCGCTCTCATAATAAAAGTAAACATGTTTGTTAAAGATTAAAACCTATAGTTCCTATAAAGAAATTTGAACATTTTTGTAGGCATGATAATCTTCTTCTTTTTTTTATTCCCCAGCAGTAAGCTCCGGTGCAAAGTCCTGGTTTTTTTCATCCATCTGGACGTTACTTTGTGCCAGGACCTGAGTTGTGTGTGTACATATTTGTGTGCAGTTGGGGTTTTTTCCCTTGACGATTTGGCAGATGCACTCAAACTTCAAAGGACCCCTCAATCAGTCAACTCCCATGACATGCTTGTTGGGGAGGCAGGTCTATTCTTGTTTTCCCCACAAGGGAGCTCAGGAAAACACATGGGGTTGGGCACGACAATGCATTCATGAATTATAATAACATATGCATCACTAACCATTCAGATCCTTGATGCCTACATAGGTCTCTTTCAACAAGGTGGTCAACTTTTTATTCTTATCGGTCGATGTCAAGTTCACATTGATATCTGCTGTTTTCATGCCGAAACCGGTCAGTGAAGATCCATACAGGTACAACATCAGATCTGAGGCAAAAAAGTCAATTTATAAGAGAGCATAATAATTACATTCAGTATCATTTCTGTAGCTTTGCTGTCGTTATCTAGGACATGTGTTCCCACCACACAAGTAAAGTAAAGGACCCTTTTCCAGACCTTTGGGTGTATTGGGCATATAATGCTAGACCTATATTTTATAGACCAATCAGCACTTTCTGGGTGATATGGTTAGCATCATGCCAGCCACCTTTACTTCCCAAGACTGTACCCGTTACCCACTAATGGTTGGGTCGGCCTGGGAGTTAAGGTAAATTTTTTTTTTAAAGTCCAGCTCCATCAGGCGACAAACTTGTGACCTTCCGATCTATTTCTCCGTCCATTTCTGGACTTTCGTCTTGTTCCAGAACTTGAGTTTTGCATGCACATCCATTTTACAGAACTGTCTTATTTGTATGCAGACTGTTGGCTCCTTGCCTCTCCGACAGATGCACTCTGACTTCGAACGAAACACTCCTAATTAGTCTGTTGTATGACATGCTTGTTGGGGAGACAGTGGGGTCTTTTGCTCCCAAAAACAGGATTCCAGAACCCAGACAGGGAGGCTCAAGAATAAAACTAGAGATTTGAATATACAGAGAGAAAAATAAGTGTATTTCACAGCTAGGACAACAAAAACAAAAATTTTTAAGCCAAAATACATCACAATAAATAGATTTTTGACAGATGGAATTAAATGATTTTTGTTTAAGGAAACTGACACATTAAAGAACATACTCTCATTTAAACTACGCAGGAGGGAAAAAGCTGAAGGCAGGCAAGCAAGAGGTAGCCAACAATATAAGTGGAAAGTTAAACAGAGAGAGAGTGTACAACCAGGTCAAGAAAGACAGTCTTGGATACATTGTAGCCAGCTGTGCAGACAGCACCTGGCTAATTGAGTGATTAGTGTTACTTTTGTTACAAGGGGAAGTCAATAAGTAAGTCACAAGCCATTACAGGATGGCAGGAAAATGTAGTTGTTGGTTTCTAAAGGTGTCATTAGTTGACAGCAACATCAAACTTTATGGCTCGGTTTGTTAGGTGGCGCTAGGTGTTGCATGCGCATTCACAACACAGAAACAAAATGGTGACTGTTCTTACAGAGTGTTCCCTCAAAGAGCAACGTGCTGTTGTGTGCTCTTTTTTTTTTTGAAAGGTGCAGGGGGTGGGGGTTGCAAAAGGGCTGCCTGCAAAGGAGATTAAAAAGGAAATATTTCCTGTTTATGCTGACAAATGTTTATCCTGTAAAGCAGTGCATAGATGGGTTTAAAAAAAAAAAAGTATCTCAAGGGCGCTCTAAAATTTTTAATGAAGTCCCATTTGGTCATCCTGTTGAGATTGCAACAGGTGCTTCAGTGCAGTGGGAGGAGAATGATGATTAGAGGTGACAGGCAAGTAACGACTGACTCTGTAGCAGCTGCAATAGGGTGCTCACATGGTTCAGCATACAACATATGCATGATTAAATAAAATTTAAGACAGTGTGCTCAAGGTGGCCTGCTGACTAGGAGATTACTGATCCTTCATGACAATGCCAGACCACATACGGCTCGGTTAACTCAGGAAAAAATTAACCATCTAAAGTGGGAACTTCTGGAGCATCCACCTTACAGCTCCGAATTAGCCCCTAGCGATTTCCACTTATGGGGCCAGTGAAACCCACCCTGGTGGGAAATATTTTGCGAATGTTGCAGAAAATGAACGTGAAATGAAAATGTGGTTTAAAAAACAGAGCAGGCAGTTCTATGCAGAAGGTTTTGGAGGACTGATAAAATGATGGGACAAGTGCTTCAATGTTGGTAGAAATCATGTTGAAAAATAGGGACAGTGTATTTGTAAAAATAAACGGTTTTCAAGTTGTTATTGTCTTTAGATTTTTTTTTAAAACAACCATTTGTGACTTATTGACTTGACCTCATATAATGAAAACTTTATTACCAGGAATTTTTTCTTTGAGTACTTTCTCCAACCGCAAGACTGCATCTGCTCGTTGTTTCTTCTCCTCCGGACTGATCCCATGCTCTGTGTACACTTTCTCCACCGCAGCAGTGAGAGCAGCAAACTGACGTTCTGTGGGCTTAGGTATACTTCTCAATACCATGTCCTCCTCATGAAGCTGTGATAAAAAACAGGCAATAAAGGCTAATGTTATTCAACAGCAGAACCTACTGTGGGGTGTTATGCACTGTTTTTGGAAAGGTCTGATGCAACAGAATGTAAAAACAATGTTGCCATGATTTGGAGGGACATATGTATTTTTTTTTAAATAACTAACAGGAAAAATGACAGAAGATTAAGGGCAGATATGATGACTGATATCACATGGCATAGACTTTGAGACAATCATAAATGTGAGAGATATAGAGAAAGAAGAGAGAAAGAGAGAGAGAGAGAGAGAGAGAGAGAGAGAGAGAGAGAGAGAGAGAGAGAGAGAGAGAAACAGCAAGAGAAGAGAAAGCAAGACAGTGAGTGAAAGAGAGAGGAGCAAGCGAGAGAGAGAAGAGAAAGTGAGACAGAGATAGCAAGATAGAGTGGAGCGAGAGGAGAGCTAGAAAGAAGAAATGCGGCTCTGAAAAACACAGCGAGACAGAGAGGAGAGAGAGTGAGACAGAAAGAGACAGAGAGAGAGACAGAAAATACAGCTGTGAAAAAAAATCATGCCATACTGATTTCCATAATAAAGAAATCAGAGATCATATAATAAAAAACATGACAGACCCCCCACTCCCCCCAAAAAAAAACCTTAAATTAAAAGGAAAACTACAAGCCATGACAGACAAACTATAAATCAAGAGATAATAAAAAGTACAAACAAAGACAAACTATAAATCAAGAAATGATAAAAACTACAAACTAAGACATGTCTATGCTTTTGTTGGGTGTGCATGTTACATGTTACTGGATTTTGCCAGGACAACTGTCTATTCACTAGTCTTTTAAATGGGAGACAAGGGCCATTTCATATGATTTTCACTGGTACAAGAACATAGAAATTATGGGGTGTCCCGTCCGCAGTTAAACTGAAACCAGGACTATGAAACTGTCTGATATCCATTATAGTCTGTACTGAACTGATGACTGAGGTCATTGAAACAAAATTCCTCTGATAATTATATTTTTTTTAGTCAATCTACACTCGAATCTTGGAATGTCAGTGAACAAATTAGGAATAATTTGGAAGCAACAGAATGTGGTTTCTGAGATGAAAGTTATGAATACCATCAACGGGCAGAGTAACTAATAACGATTGCTTGAAAGAAGCTAATGAAAGTAGATCTCTATATACAACAATAAGCAAGAGACAAAGACTGTTCTTTGGCCACATAAGGAGAAGAGAGACATTGGAGGACATCATGACAACTGGAAAGATCAGTGGAAAAAGGGGGTAGAAACAGAACAAGAGAGATAATGTTGGATGGGCTGAAACAATGGCATGGAGAGATATCATCAAGACAGCTGTTCCAGGCAACCAAGGATCGTGATCTGTGGAGATGCATGAGCGCCTACGACAGTTGGCAGGACACATGATGATGATGATGATCTACACTCAATGGCTGCTCTGATCAACATCACAAGGCTGCCTCTAACATCCCATAATACCTTCCAGTACCCATTTTTAATTATGTTGGCGCAACTGTAGTCCTGTGGTTCACATACAAATATCCGTCACTCAAGAGGGATTTGAATCCAAGACCATCAGGCCAACAGGTGCTTGTGTTAGCGAATGTGCAACTTTCCAAACAAATGTATTTAAGTAAGTTGCATGTCTTCTTTACGATATCACAATCCAACCCCAGCATTTATTGGCTAAGATGTTGTTTTCCTAGACAATTTTACACTTAGTAGTTTTTTGCCATTGCTTTCCAAACATTATGATGCTTATACCTTAGCTCAAAGTGGTCTGCCATCAAATCACACTAAACTGACATCCCTAACCCCAGTATGTCAGGACTGTGCAACTGCATTCATAACCACCAAGCAAAAGATTAACATGTTAATGTAGAATATACACATTATAAAGTCACCTATATTAATGAAGAGGATAAGGATTTTAGCGTAAAATTTCACCTTTTTCTTGCGTAGATGCCTTGTGTCTGTCAGATGTTTGCTGCAGTCTGCTTCGATGTTCAAGTGGAAATCACACAAAATGCAGTAATAGTTGGCTTTGGGGAAACGTGGGTTTTTCTGGACAGAGAAAAAAAATGTTTACACGTTTATTTTAGTTGACAAATCATCCTCACTGCTCATCAAACTATTCAGTTCATAAGTGCTTGGATTCACTCCTTAGTAAATCCTGCAGCATGCAGCGACTGATCACACCAGTTCTGTGTTGATTTAATGGTCTTCTTTGGCTTACTGCATAGTGTTCTTGTCTGGTCTATTTTGACTTGCTGTCTTTGCAGTCTGGTCATGGCTGCATACTTGCAATCATCATGTAATCTGTGCAAATGTCCTGCTTCTTTAAGAGTATTCAGAATGTCAACCTGGTACACTGCGCATCCACCCCCCACTTCAGCCCTGTCCACAAGCCTACCAGATTAGCAAACCACACAGTAAACAGATGAGATGGTATAATAGTTAGAGTATTCACTTATCAAGGCAGTAATGGCATACTTTTTTTTTTCTCAAGCAGGCACTTCAGAAAAAGCTACAGTGAAATTCATAATCCTTTTTAAATGACCACTAACCACTGGCATCATAAGCACTAATAGACATCAATAGTTGGGCCATATAGAGAGAATGGCAGACAACAGACAGACAAAAAACGTATACACAAAAGAGTTGAATGGAAATAAACCAAAAGCCAAACCAAGAACACAGTGGGGAGATAATATACCGGCAGACCTACAAACACTTCATGTCATTTGCTGATTGTAACAACATCCCAGCACATCAGTATGACCCATTTGTGCTTCCTTTCTTCCATACAGCAGCCATCTCAGTGTCTCCATGTTTACAGTACCCAACAGTTCACTGGCACATCTCCTTTTTTTTTTGCTTCGCAATTGGTTTCCTGATTTCTTCTTCTTCTTCGTGTTCACCAGTTGTAAACTCTGGCAGAAAGTTCTGGTTGTTCATCCACTTTTGTACTACAGTCCTGTTCCACACCCTGAGTGTTGTGTGTGCATCCGTTTTACAGATCTGACTCATTTGTATGCAGACTGCTGGTTCCTTGCCTCTCAGGCAGATGCACTCCGACTTCAAAGGAAAGTCCCAATTAGCAGACTCTTACGACATGCTTTTTGGTAGGCAGTGGGTCTATTCTTTCCCTCCCCCCCTTAATAGGCAACAGGAACCCATACGGGGAGTTTCCTTTTTTAAATTCCAGCAGGCGGTTTATTGTCTCTGAATCATTTGCCTCAACATCTCTGGAATATATTTAGTATTTGTGCCTGTCGATACTTCTTCCTTCATTAACTATTGCAAACTGGGCCAATTGTCAGCTTTTTCACCCCATTGTGCCCTGATGTGGACAGCCAAGATAGTTTCTTGTGGTGGGACTTATGGATGCTGTTTACTCATTCTAGTTTGCCAGTTTGGATATGCTAAAGCATGTTAATCAAGTCTCACCAATTGGAATGAGAGAGTGAAGGAGAGTGACATCTGCAGCAGTGACCCTCAAGGGTTCATGATGCTGAAGATGAAGAAGAAGAAGACATTTCTAAAGTTCAAAAGTTACAGAAAATCATCTCCAGTCTGATCAAGAACATTTGGTACCCTCATTACAGACACTCCTCAGTCACATAAGTCTGCTATCACATAAATTTGCAGACAAACACTCACATGAATCATATCAATAACCTACTGAAACATGTAAAAGATACTGAAAAATAAAAGAATCACCTTTGGTAGATATTTGATCTTGTTCTCTTTCAGTGAGATCAGGAATTCTTTTGTCAGTTTCTCTTCTGAAAACATATTAGAGAGATAAAAACCTTTGAAAAAATATTTATCAGAAACTTTATTTTAGTTTCCCAGTTTCACAAGTATTGGTACTTTTAAAATGTAAACATGATCTTTTTACTTCTATTTTCTTCTTCTTTTGTCCTACGGCTTCTGTTATATGTAGTTTCCTGTTTTTCGCTAGTTTCATAGCTTGTTTTTTCCATTCTAACTAGATAGATAACCTAATCCTTTGATTCTTCGATGTTCTATTAATGATAATAATGAGAGTTTTCTAATACAGCATTCTTACTAGATGGCTAAACCACTTCATTCTCAAACTTTTAATGCAATTCAGACACATTCATGTCCTAAACTTCTTTTTAATAACACTTCTGGTGTCTGCCAGGCATTTAATGCATGTCACCTTATTGAGACAGCAGTCTGTCAGTTTTCCACAAGAGACAGCAATGGGTATTCTGTGTGCTTTTTGCAGAGCAGAACAGTTATGGGGTGACCTATTTGTCGGGAAGCTGGAACTGGGACTAACAGAGGATGTTGGAGGCTAATACTGTAACAAATGATAAGATCAATTAAAGAAACTAAACGAGAAAGACAGTGAGAGAACATTCCCAACAACCTTTTATCAAGGCAAAGAAAAAAATGTGTATGTGCAGAGAAGTGGATGAAGATGTGATCAAGCATGGTCAGCAAAGCCAGTTGGTGAAGCATTTAGCGACAATTAAACAACAAAAGTAATATTACTGTAATACATCCAGGAAATGGGAGACGTGGGCAGTAGTAATCACTCTACACACATCAGTATCCTCATTTAAAACCCACTTCCAGCAGCCAGTTCATTGTTTCTGACTCATCTGTCTTAACACTATGGAATACTCGGTATGTTTGCCTGTCCATACTCTTCCTCCATTAACTACTGCAAACACGGCCAATCTGTCAGCTCTTTTATTTTCTTGGGATTGAATGTCCAGCATGACATTTTTTTCTTCAAAACCGGTCGACCCAGTCTAAGATGGGTACCAGGTCATGTTCTGGGAAGTAAAGGTGACTGATGTGGTATTGACCACATGGCTATTCTCCAAATAACGGTCCTAAATTATCGAGGCGGAAAATATACCCTAACAGGGCCTCAGTCACATGTCAATTGCGCACTTCTGTCTTAAATTGCGCACTTCCAGCAACTTCTGCCACCGCCGAGAGTATCCCCCACGCCGTGTGAGTGGCGTGGACTGGGACTAAACTAGATGGCTGGGACTCACGAGCAGCAGCTACCGCATCTCCTGCAGCTTCCTTCATTTTATTTGCTGGTGAGTGCTAGCCATTTAGTTTAGCCCCAATCCACGCCACATGAGCGGCGTGAGAAATACTCTCGGCGGTGGCGGAAGTCCTTAATTCGGCGGTGGCGTTATAGTCCCCGGAAGTGCACAAGTGACACGTGACTGAGGCCTTGTTAGGGTATATTTTCCGCCTCAATAATTTAGGACCGTTATTTGGAGGATAGCCGACCACATCACCCACAGAGTGCAAGCTGGTCTATACAAATATTCTGAGTCAAGCAATCATATGCCCGACGCAGCACAGGCATACAAATATTCAGAGTCAAGCAATCATATGCCCGACGCAGCACAGGCATACAAATATTCAGAGTCAAGCAATCATATGCCCGACGCAGCACAGGCATACAAATATTCAGAGTCAAGCAATCATATGCCTGACACAGCACAGGCATACAAATTCCATTTTTATATCCAGGAATCCCTGTGTTGGTTCCAGGGCCCCATTTGGGTGGAGGAGAGGGGAAGAATATACCCAGTGCCTCTCTATTAGGCATGCCGTAAGAGTAGATTAATTAGATATCTTTTCCTCTAAAGTCAGAAAGTATCTGCTCGGGTGTGGGGGACCAACAGTCTGCACATAAATAAATCTGTAAAATGGAGGTGCATGAAAAGCTAGTGAACACTAAGAAGAAGACAATAGGCAGGAAAGGCTAACTTTTTATCTTTCTTCCCTTCTGCTGACTTACCATCATTCTTTGCTGAATCTGGCTGGTTACCTTTGTCTGTGTTATTCTGTTTCTCAACAGCTGACCCCAGCTGCTTGTTTCCATCATTCTTCTGTGCAGAGTATTTTTCATTTCTATTTTCTTTCCTGTTATAATCAGGATTGTTGACTTTACCTCCATAATCTCTTCCATCATTCGTATTCCTGAATGGTTTATCCTTTCTCTGGTTTTTAACAACAGGGGGATTTCTGCTATTGTACTGTCTAGAAGTATCTGCAGGATCATCTGATTTTCCAACAGATTCTGCTGAATGCTTCTGATTTTTCATGACTAAAGGATGCATTTGTGACTTAGTTCCTTCTCTAGGATCACAGGAATCAGAGATGCTCTTTTGTAAAGAGGCAGGGGAAGCATTTCTGTTTGTCTTGTGAGCAAGACTAGCATGCTCTCTGTTATTCTGTTTATCTTTTCTTATTGACCAACCATCTTTAGAACTACTACTGCCCTTCGGACTCTCCCGTAATGACCCTGGCCTGCTGGAATTCAGCAGTTCATTGTTTTGCTTGTTTGTAAGCTTGCCCACAGTTTTGTCAGAATATTTTTTGGGTTGTGATTGTAGAGGGCCATGCCCATCGTCTTTCACTCTGGTATTTGCAGATCTATTAGTGTTTTTCTTTTTCAAGTCCACAGCTGCATCCTGAGGTACCAGGTCCATTTTAAGCATGCTCTTCAAGTCAGAGGATGCCTTCATTGTGTCAAAGCCTTCTGCCATAGTTCTGTTTGTATGAAAAAGATAGACATTTGTTTAAAATTAACAGTGTTAAATTATAACATATTTACAACGATGAATGAACATAAAAATTGGTTACAAGAATTATGTTATTTATTTTTTCTTTGATTCTTCAAGTTTTTAATTTAGCTCAATAAGCTCACAATAGCTCAGAATTTAAAAAAAAAAAAAATTCTCCATTATGATAAAGTGATAATTCTGCATCAAGTCAGATATTTTTCTTTAAAAAAAAAATGGCCTTGTTTTCCAGGTCAACCCAGCCTAAAATGGGTACTAGGTAAAACAGGAAGTAAATCTGGCTGGTGCAATGTTGACCACATCACTCACCAACTTCAGATTATAAAAATACAACAAAACATATCATAAAATCAGGACCAGAAAGAGAGTGACTTCCCTTGCCATTCATCCCTGGTTGTGTTGTAGGGCCTGTCCTATGTTGCAGGGTGTCACGTTTAGTGAGCATCCAGCAACACAATGTATTTTATGCGTTGCTATCATAGGCTGCATGTAGCTGTGGGACGTAGGCTACACTTTCTTGTGGGAAGTAGGCTGAGTCGTGGCATAGGGGGTTTGGGTAAGGGCCTGTTCTATATAATTTGGGACCCCTAAAGGTGCTTGCACTGTAGAATATAGAACAGACGATATCACCGGCCAGTGACAACAACACATACAATTTGTTGTGTTGCTGGACACTTACTAAGTGTGACACCCCAGCCCTACAATACGACCAGAACTGAATGGCAGGGGAAGTCACTCTTTTTGTCCAACTTCGTAATTGTACCAATACAACTCTAGCACTACACACCCAATACACCTAAGGGCATGAAAAAGAGCTCTTTACTTTACTTTTACTTTATGATGAAGTGACTGAAATGTTAGTTATACAGAGCCCAAGCCATGCTGAACTGTCTTCAATGCCTGTAGATACCACTTTTAGGACAGTGTAGGATTGGAGTAATGAGCCTGAGGATTTAACACTGCACAGCGAGTGCAGTTGTCATGAACTGTGTAGGTTAGTATCCTTTCCCCACACTCATCCAAAATCTCCATCCCTTAATGAGGATCAAATCTTGGTCCCCCACAGGAGAGCCAAGTGCTCTAACCATTCAGCTGGCCCCTAAAGGAGCTTATCCAATCAAGTAAACACTTAAGTTAAATGTTAAAAAGTAAACATGACTGCTACACTTGTAATACCAGGATACCACAGCTACTCCAACATTGCAATCAGAGATAATACAGTTACGTACTGTGTCATGATTAGGCAGATATCTGTATTATGAAGAATAAAAAGATAAGAGTGTGTACAGCAGTATCTCATTATCTTATCATTTATAGTAAAGCAGTTACTGATACAGGAACTGGATAGACACTATACGGCAACAGTAGGTATTTGTAGGCAGAAACTAATTTCATAAAAGAAAGGTCCCTGTATGGGGGGGAAACAAGAATAGACCCACTGCCTCTCCAACAAGCATGTCGTAGGAGTCAACTAATTAGGGGCTTCTTTCGAAGTTAGGGTGCATTTGTCCGCGAGACAAGTAGCAACCAAATGCACATAAATAAGCCAGCAAAACAGATGTAAATGCAAAATTCAGGCCCTGGCTCAAAGCCAAAGTCCAAATGGGCGAACAACCAGGAATTTCCGCCAGTGAACAGAGATAAAAGAAAGGAGAAAGAAAAACAAAGAGTAGTAGGGGGAATCTTCTCTGCTTTTGAATGCTCAGGTCAGATGTTCAGGTGAGCTGCCTCTATGAATATGCATGTCAGATGCAGGTCCTTCATGGTTCCCCATAGTTTTCTCTGCACACTTTGTTCTTTGGGCCAGATTTTTCTTTATAGTTGTAAGTATAGTGGGCAGGCCTACAGAATGTGCTCAGATGTTTGTGGTCCCATCTGACATGCACACTACAGGAACTGTACATAATTTATTTTATGCATTGCATGTGATAACTGAACCTGCAGTGTTCTGTTCTCAGATGGAAAATTGTTGTACATCATTTTCTGTTTAGTCTGTTGACAGGGAACAAGAGTGGTGGGAATGACAGAACAAGAGAAAAGGAAAAAGGGAGATAGAAGGTATACATGTTTTTACAATGTTACTTAACCTATTGTGAATAATTAACTGAAACAATAATGCAAATATTTACTAATATTAATAAAAACACTGTTTTTACTGAGATTTGCCACATTTTACTTTAAAACTGTCCATAGAAAAATATATGGTGCACTGGTCAAAATTAACAGCGAGAGAAGATTCTTGACAGTCTTGCTAAATGGCACTGATACATGCTGCAGGAGATCGAAGATTGTGGAGAGACATGATCGCCCATGCCAGTCGGCAGGGCACCTGATGATGATGATAATGATGTCATCGGTTTATTCAGTGACTACCATTTACTTTAGAAACTCAAACAGCTAAACAAGTTTAGTAAGTACTACTTAAAGTAGCAAAGTAAACTACACGGTGACGATTGCTATGAAACTGACGGAATATCAATAATAGTTTAAGAAATTTGTTCCCTTACGTTTTTACAGTAGTAGTTACACCAACTCTTGTTTAGTGCCGCTAAGTTACTGTTATTTACCCATTGGCAGACCCTTGTCCTTAATCTTCGATTGCTGATCCACAACTGTTGCTGTGCCGAATAAAAGATGACGCATATCCACAAAGAGCCATGGAGATTAAAACACTTTCGATTTCACAAAATGACGAAAACGAAGCCCAAGCCTGACAATTTCCGATCTCTGGATTGTTACCTTTTTCTTGGAATCGGAAGTCGGGAGTTTATTCTTGGGAGTGATTTCCCTTAAGTCAAATACTTTTTAACTGCTGATTCTTTCCATCCACCAGTTGCTTCTTTGAATTGTTGGGCATGGTCGTCTTAACTAGGCACCCCGCCACGAGGAAAACACTGTTTGGGGGTTGGGGAAAAAAAAAAGGGGGGGGGGGTAGCTTATCCACTTTACAACTTTTCTGAGCAAAACAAATTTAAGCGGTGACCTCTAGTTAGGGGGAAAAAAAAAGGGGGGGGGGGAGGGGTGAGAGAGAGAGAGAGAAAAAAGTAAGGGGGGGATGCTCAGGACTTTTAGTGCCGAAGATCTTTATTATACATATTAGCCAGATGTTCACAATTTTGCATTTAGCGCGTCAGAAGCAATGGTTTTCAGTTCACCGAAGAAAGAAAAGAGATTTCAAATCTGCGAATAAGCCTCTGCACGTATTGCCATTCAAAGATTAGAGTGTTAAGAATAGGAAGGAACATTACCACACACCTCTTGTGGCAGCTCTGCATATCCGTCGTATCTACCAAGAGGCCGACTTCATTACGTAAGAGCTGTCCTTGTTATGAAAGAGCTGACAGGTTGGCTGGATCCACTATCACTACCGACGGTCAGCCTATGGATCATGCTGATATTATCAATGCCCTCAGAGAAATGGGAAGGATAGACGACTTTGGTGGCAGTGAATCCAGATCACTCGCCAGAATGGCAGACTTGGGAATTAAGATCGGCACAGCAAAAAACGAGACGCACACCAGCTACGCCAGAAGACTTGTTAATCAACATAGAACTGGTACTATTAGCCATCGGACGTTGGGGTTCATACTGAGGGGAGGATCTGAGCACCTATGGACATGTCCGGAGTGCAATGAGGATAACCCAACTAACTAACTAACTAACTGTCCTTGTTAAAGTGTTGCGTCGCTTTCTGCAAATATTTCCAGCCCATCTCTATTTTCTTCCTTCGATAGCAGTCGCCTAGTGAAACAAAGACTGGCATATGCTATCACAACGTATAGTTTAAGAATGAAGGTGGAGGCAGTCTCTACTGCCTTTCGCTGCCTTAATAATCTGCTGTACACACGTGCCGTCATTGTAACTGACTCACAGAGCACGTTGAGAACGGTGAAAACAGGCATGCTTCGAGCAAAGCGGCAAGCATTACTTCAGAGGTCCCGGGTAGTTAGCATCCTTTGGATATTTTCTCCAGGTCATATCGGTGTGTTGAGAAAAGACCAGACAGAAAGACTGACTGGCTCTGCACCACTTGGTTTGAATTGATGTATAACAAGTTAGATATTGTGAGGGCCCTTTGGGAAACGGGTAGACAGTGCAGAGGCGCAGATAGATCATTGCGGTGTAAGGAGAATGGCGCTGTCAGGAGTTACTAGGGAATCTGGCCGACGCTCAACACTCAGGGAAAGAATGAGACGAATATACAATCAGACGGTTACTGGTACCATCGGCATTGGAGCTCTTCGCTTGCTGCTGAAGATCGGGACTGAGCACTCATGGAAGTGTCCCGAGTGCTGTGATGTCGATTCTTAATCCAACATTCCTTCGAAAGCATTTGCAGTGCGAAAGATTGTTTCGAATTCAGTACTAAATTTGTTCAACACTAAGCAATAGTACCGTTCGTTAAAAACCCGTTTGTGTCGCATGGCGCGTAAGTGTGTGCATTGAACATGATCATATCAAAGCCATGTGGTAAATACTGGTCAATGAATGAAATTGCACTTTCTTGTCGTCCCATAATGCAACGATTCTGTTTCTGACTGTTGAGAAAGTGAATATGCACACAAACACATGTGGAACGTGTAGTAGAAGGATAAAACCAAAACAAAACTCCACAGACACAAGGAGGTTGCTGTCAGAAAGATTTGTCATCGTTGTTCCCCTCCAGAACTACTGTCCGTATCATTACCACCCCCAAGGACACAAATTAAAACGAGCCAACCACAAAACCCGTTTAACAGTGTTACATTTAAATTAGGTAATATACGGTTACAAAAGAAAATGCTGTCTACGTGGGTGGGTAAATGTGATCGCTGTGTTTGAAAAGCGATTATACTGGACACAAAACAAAACCAAAAAAACTTATGGTCAAGAGAGCATTAGTGGGAAGCCACACTTTATAACCGCAT